TCGCTGGTCTTCAACCCTCGTCCTCCTCCTCCTCCTCCTCCTCCTCCTCCTCCTCCTCCTCCTCCTCCTCCTCCTCCTCCTCCTGCCTCGTTCTGATGTGCAGCAAGCTGGGAGCAAACGACGCAAACGTGCAGGCCGTGTATCATCAGGGAGGCAGCTACCCCGCCCTTGGTTGCCTCCTCCTCCCATGAACCCCAGCCCCGTCGAGCTACACCAGACGGGAACGATCTGAGAGAGAGAGCGTGAGAGTGTGAAAGGAAGAACGCGAGGGATCGGAGAGAGGCAGCAGGAGCGAGGGGAGAAAGGAGGAGGAGAGACAAGGGAAGGGGCAAAGGGAAGGATTAGGTGGGAAAATGGAGGGAAAGCTGGGAGAATACGAGGGTAGAGGAGAAAAGAGGCGACAAGAGAGGTGGAGGGATAGGGCGATACAGAGGAAGGGGAAGAGGAATAGAGAGAGAAGCAAAGCGGAGGGAGAGAGAGGAAGAGGAAGAGGAAGAGGAAGAGGAAGAGGAAGAGGAAGAGGAAGAGGAAGAGGAAGAGGAAGAGGAAGAGGAAGAGGAAGAGGAAGAGGAAGAGGAAGAGGGAGAGGGAGAGGAAGAGGAATATGGAGAGAGACAAAGGGGAGGGATAAGAGGAGGGAATAGAGCTCATCACAGTCTTGCGATGTGCGGTCTTGCAGAAGATGAGCAGCATGATGCCAACCATCTGCCTGCAAACAACTTCGACCCACTCCTGGCCGAGGTCTCTGGTGATGGATCTGCAAGCCTAGATTGAGATGAAAGATGCGGAGGGGAAGGAGGAGGAGGGGGAGGAGGAGGTTGCAGAAGAGGAGAAAGAGGATCACCTCCTCCATTCCTCTCCCTTCTCTGACTGCACAGAGATCGGTGCTCCTGATCGCTTTGCCTCCGACCATCCTGCCTTCACTCCGGAAGCTGCAGCGCCTGTAGAGGAGGGAGGAGGAAAAGGACGAGGAGGAGGAGAAAGGACGAGGGAGAGAAAAGGAAGGGAGCGATTGAAATCACAACCTTGAACCCGACATGCTGCTCGTCTACCTAGCGACTCTTTCCATCCTTTCTTGAGTCCCTGCAGCGCTCCCTTGCCGCTCCGATGAACCTGCAGGAGGTAGCGGAGGGAAACGTGAAGAAGATGGCAGAGCAGGAGCAACACGAGGAGATGGCGTTGATGGTGGTGGTGGAGGAGGAGAAGGAGGAGGAAGAGGAGAAAAGAGTGAAACGGTCATAATCTTGACAATCAAGCAAATTTCTTTGTACTTTTTGTGCAGTATCCACAACGAAGGCTCCTGATCTGAGATCGATCTCTTGCAACCCGATCTTGCAAGAAGTCAGAACCGGAAGACAGTCAAAGACATCGAGACAGGTAGAGCCAGAAAGACTGAGGTAGGAGTGACAGGAGAGGGAATGAGAGGAGAGAGGCGGCGGAGGCTGAGACGAAGGAGTGACAAGGCTGGAGAAACAGGGAGGAGGGAGGAGGGAGAGGAAGGAGGAGAAAGAAGGGAAGAAATGAATTATTACCACAAGCATTTCTACACTCCCCAGGCTATTGACGAGCCAGTCTAGCGACTGAAAAACAAGAAAATGTGACATGACGCGCAGCAAGCAAAGAAGGGAGAATGAGGCATGAGATTAAGAGAAGGAAGCCTTGAAGAAAAGGACCAAATGAGGAGATAAAGAAAGAAGGAAAAGAACAGGATGAAGAGCGGTGAAAGGTTGCTTAGAGAGAAACGAAGACCTTCTGGTTTGGAGTGAGATCGTTGACATTCCAACTAACAGCAAGGATGGGGATGCTGGGCTGCCACTCGGAGATTCTTCTGTTCACAAGGTTGCAGTGCTCTGTAGTGAGAGCCTGACAAGAAAGAGAAAGTTAAGAGAGAAGAGGGAAGTTTGACAAAGGAGAGGATATCCGAGGAGAGAAGAAATGTTTCGAAGAGGGGGGAGAAGAGCTTGTAGCTGTCACAGGCATGTCGAGGTGGGTTCACCTCATCAACAGATAGCAGGTACGTTGAGTTTGCTCCACAGAAAGCAGCAGAGAAGCGAAGGCCTTTCTTGATCTGCGACATGAGGAGGGGCACGTGAGGAGAGCAGCAAGATGTAGGGGAGGAAGTCATCAAGAGGGCAACAAGTCGTGCAGGAGTTGAGCAGGAGGGAGAATATGCAAGCATGCTAAACAGGATATGCTGATGGGATATGCTGATAGGATATGCTATGAGGGTAGAAGTAAGAGTAAGAGAAGTTGGAAAAGGAGGGGGAAAGGAGTAAGAGTAAGAGAAGTTGGAAAAGGAGGGGGAAAGGAGTTGTAGGGGTAGCAGCAGCAGCAGCAGCAGCAGCAGCAGCAGCAGCAGCAGCAGCAGCAGCAGCAGCAGCAGCAGCAGCAGCAGCAGCAGCAGCAGCAGCAGCAGCAGCAGCAGCAGCAGCAGCAGCAGCAGCAGCAGCAGCAGCAGCAGCAGCAGCAGCAGCAGCAGCAGCAGCAGCAGCAGCAGCAGCAGCAGCAGCATCAGCAGCAGCAGCAGCAGCAGCAGCATCAGCAGCATCAGCAGCAGCAGAATCAGGATTATGTGAGGAGAGAAGACTGATCGTTGAAACGTCCAACACATCTCATCAACACCTCTAGCATGGTTTTCGGCGTCAAGTTCGCACCCTGAGGAGAATCATTTTGATCACAAACATCAGAGTCGTTGACGCTACCTTTGCTCCAAGTCGACCATATTGCCCTTTGCTTCCATCCCCCCATGCAAACACCTTGAGAGGCCGTCAGCACTTGTTTTAATCCTCCTAGTAATGGAGGGAAGGTCTACTATACACAATCATCACATGCATGACCAGTAAAACAGACTAGCAATTTTTCGACGTTTCAACGATTCTCCGCACCCTCACCTGAGAGTTCTTGTTGATCGCAATTGAGTGAGCAGCACCACATGCGATGATAGAGATGTCGTGCAGTGAAGAGATCTTGTAGACAGGTCGAAACAAATCTGAATTCTGAGTGGAGCCTTCACACGTGTGAGTTGAACCTCTCCGGGCACCTCCTCCTCCCGCCCCCGCCCCTGCCCCTGCCCCTGCCCCTCCCTCTGCCAGTGCTGCTCCCCCTGCCTCTACCTTTCCTTCTCCCTCTCCTGAACTCCTGCATTCTCAATGTAATTCCAGCTTACCATTTCCTAGCTGCCCATCACGATTCAACCCTGTGCTGTACCTGCGAGGAGTCAATTCCTCCCTCCCTTCCCCCAACCCTTTTTATCATTTGCCATCCTATCCCAGCTCCCTCCGCCCCTCACACTCACAGCGCTCCTCTCGTCGTCAGAATCATCGTGTGATAGTGCCCACAAGCAACAAGCTCCACGAGATCGTCTGGAGAGCCTTCGCCGCCTCCTCCTCCTGCTATCGCTCCAACTCGCGTTGGCTCCAACAGACTGTCTGCACCTTTCACCCCGCACTGTCCGACCATGTTTGATCCCCACATGAAGAGCTGAAACCTCGTCAAGCTCACGTGGCGACGAGAAGGAAGAGGGAGAGAAAAGTCGACAGCGGAAGCAAGAACGAGCAACAGAGGTAGAGAGGGAGGAGAGTTCAAGAGAGGACGGATACCTTCTTCTCCTCCGAGAGCGCCGCACAGTGTCTCATCCCGCTTGCAATCTTCACGATCCTTTGGGATTGCAGGGCAGGCACGATCGTCGGCTCGTCCATCCTCATTGACAACTGACAAGATCCGCGTCAAAAGACATTGACACGAGTCTGTCAAACCTTGGAAGACAGCCCCAGCTCTCCATGCTTGTTCGAACCCCATGACAATACCCGCCCAGCCTCCGACAGCGCAAGGAAGAAGTCTTCTCCGCAAGCCACTTGCGACACTGGGACATCGCATGGAACACTGATAGCAAAGTAGTGAGGCAGGCGGACGAGAGTCAGCCATGTCAGCTGCACCTTCTCAGAGCTTCTATAGTGGGCTCCTTCTGAGCGCTCCACGACAGAATCTTGCCGCTATCGGAGACGATGAGGAACGTTTGTTCGGAGCAGGCGGCATGTTTGATGGACAAGAGCCCGTGGATCGAAGTGACTAGCAGGGGATCTCCCTGCCCGTCCCATACGTAGACACCTGCCGTTGCACGCGCGAGAGGTCAAGACGAGGGAAGGGAGGGGAAGGGAGTGGAGTGAAATGGAGGAGATGGGAGGAAGGGAGTCACCTCCTTTTCTTCCACCCGCAAGAAAGATGGCATTTGTTCTCCCGAGTGCCATCTATCCATCATTCAGCGACTTGACACGTGCTGTTGCATCTTACATGGTGTACAGCCACGTTGGCCAAGCTGTCAAGAACATAAGGATCCGAAGCCTTCTTGTCTGCATCATCGTTGAGAGGCAAGAAGCACCTTCAAAGTTCTACCGTTCTCGTTTCCCACGACGTAGATTTGACCGCAGGAGCACGGCACCATGGGGAACGTGACATTCTTCAACACGTTTGAGCCTGACGGCCGTGGCACTGCAAGGACTGTCAGCGACCAAGAGCCATCCATGGCGCTACCTCGCGCATGTCGCCCGTTGTGAGCTTCGGTTTGACTGCCTTGCATCATGGCTTGGGCCTCGGAGGTAGAGGCGGAGGCCTGGAGGGTTTTGGCGGATCTTGCAATGGAGTGAGCATAGTAGAGGAGAGGAGAGGAGAGGAGGCGTACCCATGTGAGATGACTTGTTTGCTGCTTCAAACAACAAGTTCGCACATCTGAGATCGAATCATCGTCATGGCATCGCATCATGGTGTATCGCCCCATCAAATCGCAGAGCTTCGATTCAGCTCGGAAAGACTTCTCCTCCCTCCCTATCTCCCTCCCCTCTCCTTCTCTCCTCCTTCAACCTTTCACCTCCCTCTCCCTGCTCTCCCTCCCTGCTCTCCCTCCCTGCTCGCCCTACCTCCCTGTACCAGCTCTGCTCGTCCTTCCCCATCCCTCCTCGTCATTCAGCATTTTTTTCCTTTCATTGTTTCTATTTAGCGGCCAGCGCTGCCCCTGAAATTGAGTAAAACTGATCCGCTCCCCGGCAGAATGGTGGAAACGGGGGACGGGGAGGGGATGCTTCGGGTGAAGGTGAGTGGAGGGCCATGGCGGCGAGAGAGGACACGATCTCCCTATTCCTTCCTCCCCCTCTCCTCCCTGCTCCTGCCATTGCGATCGTCACACCCCCTGACTGCTCGTCGTTGTCTCGACATCGCACGTGCCTTTGGTTGGGAGTAAGGGAGGGTGTGTGAGGGGAGAGGTTGTTGAAACTTCATGGCGTACAAATGAGGAGCATGACCTGAGAGGAAATGAACGATGAGGATGCGACGAGAGCGCTTCCAGCAGCCGAACGTCTGAACTTGTTTTTGTGCATGCAGAAGGAAAAGTTGGACGAGCAGGCAAGAAGCAGGGACGCCATGGATGGGGACCCAGTGAAAGTGAAGGAGGAGGTTATCGCAGAGAATAGCTCGATTCCTTCATGCCTGCTTGCTCCTGCGGATCAGATCGGGAAACCGATCAAGACTGTCAAAGATAAGTGGAGGCTCTTACCGGTATAAGGAGCGAGGGCGATGCGATACGGCTCTTGGCTGACAGATGTTCAGGCGTTTCTCAAGGTTCGAGGTCTGACAAAGCAGCAGATAGATTCCTTCAACTACTTTCTCAACGTCTGTCTGTTGATGTAGCACGCGCATGCCTCTCAAGCTTGTTCCTTCAGGTTGATATGAAACTCATTCTGAAGGCCAACAACAAGATCACCTGTGACGCCGATCCCGGCTGGTACCTTGAGTACAAGGACATCCGTGTTGGTCCTCCCAATGTCGATGTCCCAGACACGCCAGGCATGTTCTCCCGTCCTCCTCCTCTCTCAAATCCCGCTAAGACGTGCAGGCCTTCTGTGACAGGCCCGCAGGTGTCAACGAAGGGATCACGCCGCAGCAGTGCCGCCTGCGGGACATGACGTACTACGCTCAGATCCTGGTGGACATCGAGTACACGCGCGATCAGGCTGGAGGAGGAGGAAAGAAGGAGCGAGTGCGGAAGGACAACCACCCGATAGGCAGGATGCCAATAATGCTCCGATGCTCCCACTGCGTGCTCAATGGCAAGTCAGAGACGGAGATGTCGGCCATGGGAGAGTGTCCGCTGGATCCTGGAGGATACTTCGTGGTCAGAGGGACGGAGAAGGTGATTCTGATCCAGGAGCAGCTGTCCAAGAATCGTATCATCATAGAGCGAGACGCGAAGGGCCAGCCATCTGCCTCCGTCACTTCGTCGACAGGTGAGAGTTAACGGGTCGGTTGAAAAGTTGACTTGCTACCATGCCAGCCAAGACCAAGACCAAGACCAACATCACCATCAAGAACGGACGGTTCCAGCTGAAGCACAACTCTTTCACCGACAGCATCCCCATCGTCATCGCCCTGAAGGCTATGGGCTTGACCTCCGATCAAGAGATCATTCAGCTGGTGGGCTCAGAAGCCTTGTTTGCAGACGATCTCGCGGCTTCTCTTGAGGTCTGTGCGAGTTGACTGCTCTTTGTGCGTGTGATCGAGGGAGCAGGAAGCGGCGACGGTCACGTGGGGAGGGGCTGGGCAGCGAGGCGTCTTCACAGAATCGCAGGTGAAGCAGCTCGAGTTTGACAAGCGGAGCTGAGATACGTCCACAGGCGCTTGACTACATAGGAAATAAGATTAAGCCAACCAAGTTTGCTAGACGGCAGCAGTCCACGAAAGCGGAAGAGGCTCGAGAGAAGGTGCTTTCTGTCGCCTCTTTGCGGATAAGGATCATTGTTTGTGCACTCGGTTCCGTTTCACGATTTCGTATTCCTGCATGCATGGAGTACTCATTTATCTTGCTGTATTCTTCACTGAAGTTCTGATGACAACTGTAATTGGTTGGTGTTCTGTTCTTTGTTAACGTTCTGTGAATCTACTCCAGTTTTCTTGTTGCTCTTCTGACTCTCTCTTGCAGCTAGCGACAGTTGTGGTTTCGCACGTGCCAGTGGTGAAGTACGATTTCCGAGCAAAGGCGATCTACATCTGTTTGATGCTTCGCCGCATCATCCAAGCAATGCACGACGAGACTGTGATGGACGACAAGGATTACTACGGCAACAAGAGGTTGGAGCTTGCTGGTCAGACCATGTCCCTTCTCTTCGAAGATGTGTTCAAGAGGTGATCTTCTGTTGCCTTGCTCCCCTCCTTAGCTTCATGCTTCTACTCTGTTCCATTGAACCCCATCTTCTAAAGCTTGGCTTCCATCTTTCGCCTTTTCATCTCACTTTTGACTCGTTGCAGCTTCAACAGCGACGTGCAGAAAATCGCGCAGAAGCAGCTGGAAAAACCTTCTCGGACCACCACTTTCGACGTCCTCAAGTACCTTCCTCCCACCAAGATCACTTCGGCCCTCGTCAATGCTATTAGCACGGGCAACTGGAACCTCCGGAGGTTCGGGATGGAGCGCCAGGGAGTAACGCAAGTTCTCTCGCGCCTCTCCTACATCGCGGCGCTCGGAATGATCACCCGCGTGCAGAGTCAGTTCGAGAAGACGAGAAAGGTCAGCGGGCCCCGCGCCCTGCAGCCCTCTCAGTGGGGGATGTTGTGCCCGGCTGACACGCCCGAGGGAGAATCTTGCGGCCTTGTCAAGAACTTGTCGCTCATGACGCACGTCACGACTGATGACGACGAGCTTCCTATCGAGCTTCTCTGCTATGATCTCGGTGTTGAGGACCTCGGAATCCTCTCGGGGGAGGAGGCGACGCTGGGGAACGTGTACCTGGTGTTCCTCAACGGTCTTCTTCTCGGCCTCCACCGCGCGCCCAAGAACTTCGTGCAGCTCCTGCGAGCGATGAGGAGGAGAGGTCGCCTGGGGGAGTTTGTGTCCATCTACTCCAACGCCCGGCAGCGCACTGTGCACATCTCGTGCGATGGGGGGCGCGTCTGCCGTCCTCTGATCATCGTCAAGAACGGCAGGTCGTTCGTCACTGACCAGCACATCAAGGAGGTTCTCAGCAACTGCCGGACGTTCTCCGACTTCCTCAAGGAAGGGCTGATTGAGTACCTCGATGTGAACGAGGAGAACGACTCGCTCATCGCCCTCTACGAGCATGGCATCGGCCCCAAGACCACTCATCTCGAGATCGACCCCTTGACCGTCATGGGAGCCTGCGCAGGTCTCATCCCGAACCCCCACCACAACCAGTCGCCTCGCAACACCTACCAGTGCGCCATGGGCAAGCAGGCAATCGGAGCCATCGCATACAACCAGCTTCAGAGGATAGACACGCTCCTCTACCTCCTTGTCTACCCCCAGAGGCCCCTAGCTCAGACAAAGACCATCGAGTTCATCAACTTCCATCGCATCCCCGCAGGTCAGAACGCCACAGTGGCGGTCATGAGCTACACAGGCTACGATATCGAGGACGCTGTTGTGCTCAACCGCTCTGCCGTTGATCGAGGGTTCGGCCGGACGATCGTGCTCAAGAAGTCAACAACCTCCCTCAAGCGCTATTCCAATGCGGCCGAGGATCGCATCACCTACCCGCAGTCAGGAGGAAACGAGCGACTGGCGTTGAGGACGGCAAACTTAGACAGGGACGGGATCGTGGGGGTGGGCAGCAAGGTGTCGCAGGGTCAGATCCTTGTCAACAAGATGGTGCCCAAGGACATCAGCACCGTTATCAACAACCCCGACGAGCTGCGAGAGGACGCGTTCAAGAGCGCTCCTCTCGTGTACAAGGACAAGGCAGACGGCTACGTCGACCAGGTGCTCCTGACTTCCAACCACGACGAGCACTTCCTGGTGAAAGTTCTCATGAGGACAACTCGCCGCCCTGAACTCGGCGACAAGTTCTCCTCCAGGCACGGGCAGAAGGGAGTGACAGGCATCATCATCCCCCAGGAAGACATGCCCTTCACTGAGGAAGGCCTGTGTCCAGACCTCATCATGAACCCTCACGGCTTCCCCTCGCGCATGACAGTCGGCAAGCTGCTGGAGATGCTCGGGGGCAAGGCTGCCCTCATGAACGGGAAGTTCGCTGACGCGACGGCCTTCGCCTCGACGGCGAGCTCAGTGCAGGCGATCTCGGACACGCTGGTGCTGCATGGCTATCACTTCGGGGGGAAGGAGCTGTTGACGTCAGGGATCACGGGGGAGCCTGTTCCAGCCTACATCTTCTTCGGGCCTATCTACTACCAGAAGCTCAAACACATGGTGCAGGACAAGATGCACGCCCGACACAAGGGCCCTAGGACTGTGCTGACAAGGCAGCCGACAGAGGGGAGGAGCAAGGATGGAGGGCTGCGCCTGGGAGAGATGGAGCGAGACTGCTTGGTGAGCTACGGGAGCTCGGCGCTGCTGCTGGAGAGGTTGATGATCTCTTCGGACGAGTTCCAGTGCCACGTATGCAAGAAGTGCGGGCTGATCGGATACCCCGGATGGTGTCAAAACTGCAAGACAAATCTTCACATGTCCATGATCCAGATGGTAAGATGGCTGCCTGCTACTCCTTCACGTGTGCTGCTGCTTCGTTTCCTTTCTCGTCGTTGCAAAACCATATTTTTTTCTCTGCTTATATTTTTTCTTGGTTTGTGACTTTTGTTCTTAGCCATACGCCTGCAAGCTTGTCTTCCACGAGCTTCAAAGCATGAACATCGTCCCTCGATTAAGGCTCGAAGACATGTAGTCAGTACTGTAGGAGATAACATGGCATATCTTATAAACAATCTTAATCAACCTCTCTCTACTCTCCGGGCATCCACTTGTAGTGGAACAAAATAATATCAATCCACATGCGCAGGAGGCAGACGATGCTCAGCGTGTACGTCAGCATGCTCGTATGCATTCCTACTTACAGCACCATTCATGGTTTCCTTCTCAGACATTGAAGTCGAGGCCTCCACAGCGGGTCCTCCTTGTGCTTGCTCTCCACCTCTCCCACCGTGATGCCGCCATGGCATCCAGAGCATCATCAGCCGTCATGATCTGCACACCCTGTACACTGTTTCGCTCCCTTCACATTCCTGTGCTCCTGCATCGCTCATCCTGCCCCCTCCCTGCGCATTTCCGGGCAGAATTAAGGAACCCCAAGGCAGCAATCTGATTTCCTATGATTCAGTTGCTGCCTCGCAGTCTATTGAGGGACAACCCACCCTGACTGTATGAGACTACCCCTACGACATGCTGTACCCCGAGACTCTTTCACCCCACCCATTCATTCAAGGTCTATACTTCTAGAACACCACTGTTGCTTCAACACCCCCACCCCTTCAGAACCAGACTAACCCCACCCCACCCTCCGAACGCCAAAAATCGCGCAACAGGTGTAACCGCCTTACCCACCCCTCTCAATCTGTTTCGGAGGTACCCACCCCTCGAAGATATGACTATTTGTTCTCGGCTAACTGGTAGGGTGCCCAATTTCATGACCCCACCCCTCTTTGTTCTTAAGTGCTGTTTTTAATTTTAAAATGTTATATTTGTACGAGACGGGGGTCACATTCAGGTACTCTTTGTCTTTCAAAAACTGTTTTATCAGCCCCAACATAGTTATATTCGACTTATCCGCCTTACGTTTCTTCACTTTTACGTTTTAGAAATGGTAGAATTGTCGTTCTCTTCCTACAAATATACAACGAGAAGCTAAAACTCATTTTAAGAATTACGGCAAATGCAGGGAGGGAGGCGCAGAGGAAGGAGTGAAGAGCGGCATGCAAGCAGGGCGGGAGAGAGGAGAGGAGAGGACCAGATCTTTATGGATCTGAATAATCGCATGGCAGAACCGACAGGTTTGACATCCATGCCTCGCAAAGCCTCGAGTGAGCGGCGGGGAATGTGGAGCAGCGGGAGGGAGGCGTATAGATGCTTGTGGCTCGCAGTGTCGTTGATGGGCGCGTGTGCATCCCCGCGGGGGCTTGGAAGTTCATACTCTAGAGGTGGTGTGCAGCCAGCAATGGCTGGCATACGTCCTCTGAGACTTCACAACGTGCTGAGAATGCGAGGAGGAAGTACTCTTACGCTTGACGACGAGCTGCATGAAGGCATCCGGGAGAGTGTCAGCACGGAGAGCTTGTGGTAAGAAGCTGATTGTGTTTTACTTGTGTTTTGATCTTGTCCTTCATTACAAGCTCGAGGCAAATGAGCAAAGACGAGCATAGAGACGAGATGTCCACTGAAGAAATCCCGATTCCCATGACTCAAACCAGTGACGGGAGGTATGAAATCCCGCCGCTCATGGCATGCTGATACGCTGATTGATTAAATTGCCTTTACAGGAGAACTTCTCAAATCACTGAGACATTCATAGTGAATGAAGTGTTGCAGCTACAGAGCTACTTGCCCCATCTTCAACAGTACCAGAATCCTCTCCTCACACGTTCGTGGCCAATCAACACCAACTTCGTCGGGATCAACGAGACTGTGACTGACACTGTCTTCTGCAACTCCTTGCGAGCTCAGGTGGGGGTGACCGCATTATCTCGGTGCTTTCCTTACTCGTTTCCTTGTTAGAGTAAAGGGTTGGTGTATAGCCAGTGGGTGAGGGCTGGCCCGCGCAAGCAGACCTACTTCACCCCATCAGAGGTCAATGCTGCCATCGTTTCTTGTGGTGGGCTAGACCCCGGTATCAACATCGTCGTTCGTGAAATCGTTGGGAGCCTGGACCTCGCCTACAATGTTCGAAGAGCATGGGGAGTGAGGTTTGGATGGCGAGGGTTTACAGATGGGGCTGCCAAGGTCAGGAGAAGCCTCCTGTACTTGTTGATGACTGACATGGCTGAAGGAATGGCTTGAGCTGACACAAGAAAGGGTAGCTCACATCCATAAGGAAGGAGGCTCAATCTTGGGCTACTCGGCAGACCCCTGTGACGTTGAGGAAACGCTGAATGTGCTAGAAGAACGAGGGATCAACCAGCTGTACGTGCTCGGAAATGTCGAGACTTGCAAGAGTGCATCGGATATTCAGCTTGGTGCTATCAAGCGCAAGATGAAACTGAGCGTCATTCTGATTCCCAAATCGATCGAGAACAACTTCCCTTACATCGACAAGTGCATCGGCTTCGATACGGTCGTTCAAGGAGCTGTGGACGCCATTCACCGTGTGCTGTTGGCGGCGAGCAGCGTGCAAGGTGGCATTGGAATCATCAAGCTCGGCTCTGGTTTCATGTGCCTGCATGCCGTGATGGCGTCGGGCGATGCCGATGTCTGTCTTCTCAAAGCTGTGCCATTTGACCCTAAGGTAACCCTAACCCTTTCGTCTGGCCTCGTCGTTGAGGGCTGCCCAACTAGGTCGTATTCGAGTATGTATCCAAAGTGATTGCAAGCAAGGGATATGCGATCATTGTCGTTGAAGATGGAGCTGCTGAAGAACTTGTCAAGAAATGGAGAGCCCAACTTGATGTGGTAAAGTTTGCTTAGCTTGAGAAGACTATTGCCAACCGTCGGTGCAGGACACTGGGGACAGGACGCCAGTTGGAGGCTCCATGGACGAATGCATTGGGAAGTTGGTGCCACGAACTGCATCGGGTCATTCGATGAAAGAGGTACGCACAATTGTTTTGTATGAATGTGTTTTCTCTTATACCTGAAACAGGAATGTGCCCGCGGCCTCGCTTTTGAAACTTTTGACATTGGACAGGTATCTGCTGTCTTACTTGTGTGAAATGAGATTTACACCCGCCCCTTCAGTACCTCAAAGAATATGCCATAGATTTTTTCAGTAAGCGCGGACTACATGTAAGCGTTTCCATGGGTCGTTGATCTGCTCATGACGAAACGACCAGGTCACAGTTCGTCTGAGCACACCAGAGTGGTACATCAGAAGCATGCCAGCCCTGGGTGAGCCACCCTTGTGTTCCTCCTTGTTCTGCTACGCTTGTTGGACCTTTCGCACGCTCACACACCCACAGCCTCCGACAGGATTTTCTGCAACATCGTTGGCTCGTCGGCTGTACATGGTGCTTGAGTGTCGAGAGCTTGTCGTCGAGATCTGACTCAGGCTGACAGCCGCCTTCGCCGGCTTGATGCATCTTGTGGTCGGAAGAGTCAGCCAGGTAAAGCTGGTCGGTGACTGCGGTTACTTGTGCTGATGGCCCACAGCGATACGTTTACATCCCCATGTCAATCATCAACGAGAAGAACAAGGTTGTTGAACATGGTTGCCTTGCCCTTCTTGACGGCGACCCTGCAGCCGGTTGTGAAGGAGACATCGAGAATGTACAACCGAATGATCCGAGCTACCGGCCAGCCATCCTTCCAGCGGCAAGGACATGTGAGATTGAAGCGAGCTTGGCGAGAAGCTCTAGAGCTTAAACCTTGCGTGCAGGCGAAGCTCATAACCGGCAGAGGAGATGTGAGGAGAGCCTTCACGCCGGACCAGGCGCTCTCGGACCTCGCAAGAGAGGAGCAGGTGAGGGATTGAGGGGGGTCGACTTGCTTGACGACTGCTCGCAGAAAGATTCGACCTTCCACGTGTGACACTTGAAGACGACTTGATCCTGTACAGTAAGAAAGCGAGTGCTTTGCGTCTTTTAACTCTGGCTTTATTAAATGCCTCCACTGGGTTACATTCCATGGCCAGGAAACTGGTTGTTGATGTTCATCTGAGGGTAGACCCCAGCTGGTTTCAAGCTGCTCGGCCCAGCCATCCCCATCTGGTTGCGAATGTCCATATGGCCGGCCATGAACTGACCCGACATGATGGAGGCGAGGGGGTTCTGAGGCAGAGCAGACGCTGAGGAGCCTTCGCTCATCCCCATGCGAGAGTCGGGCATCATCACCTTCCTCTCTCCCTCCAGCTGCAGACCAGCTGGATTCACCTGCTGAGGCATCATGCTGGGCGGGTATGCAGCTGAAGACCCGGCCACGTTCAAGCCGAACTGAGGAAAGAAATGCTGCTGGGACTGCTGGAACTGCTGGGGTTGCTGGAACTGCTGGGGCTGCTGGAACTGCTGGGGCTGCTGGAACTGCTGGGGCTGCTGGAACTGCTGCTGGAACTGCTGCTGCGGTTGCTGGGGCTGCTGAAACTGCTGCTGAAACTGCTGTTGGTGCGATGGCTGGTGGGGTGGCTGGTGCTGGTACTGGGGCTGGTGCTGCTGGTACTGGGGCTGGGGCTGGGGCTGGTACTGGGGTTGGGATTGGGGCTGGAAGGGCTGCTGGTACTGCTGCTGCTGCTGCTGCTGCTGCTGCTGCTGCTGATGGCCGCGAAACAAGAGATGCGCCTGACCCGAGTTGTTTCCTCGCATTTCCGGGAAGGAGTTGGCGGCGCTGACAATGCCCGTAGGGATGGCTTTCGCTTGCAAGACATCAGCGCCCTGATGGTACTTGAAGGGCTCGGAAGAGGCGCTGGGCGCGTCCTCTTGAATCATATCCATATCCATCTTCATCTTGTCCAGGATCGCGTTGGCTACCCGGGCATGAGAGTCACAAGGAGGAATGATGGTAGGACAGCAGCGTATACCTTTCTCCTCCCTTCCTAGGGGTTTCCGCGACGCTGCAGCTTCTCCATTCTCCTTTGGGAGGTTGGCGGCAAGTTCCACTCTCTCTCTAAACCTTCCCTGCAGCTCCTGCCCTGGAAGTTTAGATCCCTCGAAAGCAGCAAGAGGAGGAGAACACCTGAGCCAGTTGCATCAGCTTCTTGCTTCCTTCCTTGGTCTTGCTCATCGACTCAATGCTTTCTTGTCGCTCAGAGCGGAAATTCGCCTGCTGCCCGTCACTTCATCCTGCCTTGTTCCACTCTCCTCACCAACAAATCCTCAGCGGTTCTGTTTTCGTTAAATAGCATACAAAGAGGAAGCTGTTGGCATTCAGCCTTGAAAAAGATTCAGAGAACATGCATCTCATTAGCAGGTCGTCTATCAGAACTTCCATCGCCCACCTTCATCTTCGCCGCTTCCTGTTCGTACTCCTCTGGCGTGATGACTCTGTGTACCTGTTCACACATTTTATTGGACAACTCCAGATATCGGTCTAGGTCACCTTCCGCAACTGTTCCAACTGACCTGAAAGACAGGAAAGCAAACAGACCAAGATTTCAATTCTTGCACGATAGCAACGAATACGAACAAACCTGCAACATCCAGTTGTTTCCCCGTGGTCTGACATGTACAATCAGCCTCTTGTTTTCTTCCCCATGCTCCCCTCCATGACAGTAAAGAAAGGAATCAACCTGGTGGAGAAAAACGGGAGCCGAGTTGCTTGACCAGGACGCAGTACAACGAATGTAACGTGAGAGACTCACCTGCTTCATTTCAGTGATGATGTTAGACAGTTAAAAAGGAACCGATTGAGAGTTATCAATGTCGTCCAACAACAAGCAGAGGTATTCAAACTCCGTCATTGTAAAAGGAGCCTGCATTCATCTCAGTACGTCGCAAAGCTTGTTAGCTGTGTTCAGAGCGAGATTACCTGTCTCAGCCACAACTTCTCTAAAACCTCCTCGCGCGCTGCGCCGGCTAGTTTTGCGAAGTACTGATTGACATACACTGCCGAGATGTTCAGCGAACAGGATGAGAGAATGTCAAGTGCTTACAGTCTTTTCTCCTATTTTTCTGAGGACACCATGTGATTCTCAAGAATCCCCTGTCCTGGGTAGCTCAAGTCAGACAAGTTTCTTGTCCTTGATGGAGCAACCTTGAGTTTTTCCCATTGGTGATTTTGAATTCCTTCTAACTCCTGCAGCATCGAATTCATCCATCTTCAGACATCACAGATCAACTCGATCTCACCTTTTCGGACGAGTCATGATGCTGGGCTAGAGAAGTTGCAGGGACAAGCAGACGAAGTTTGTTGCGTGTTTGATTTTCAAGCTTGTTCAAGTTTTCACATGTTTGTCACATACCCCTCCTTGTCCTCACCTCATCTACAGCAGCGAATGCAGTATGCATAATACTACTGAGATATGGCGGAAGGCTGCACCAGAAAAATTCAACACCTTCTGAGGTTTGATTTCAGCAACGAGGTGTGGAAATAACCTGTTGAGAATCTTGACGAGCGCTTCTCCTTCACTTCTTTCCTCGCAATACCTTCGGAACTTCTCAGAGACACAGATTTGTAACATCAACAACAAACCTCAAAAACACTTGATACGGCCATTTCTGCAAGATCGCCACCAGATACGGGCACTACTTGCTCGTGAGGGGGTTCTCATTGATGTTAACGACCATCACCTGCGAGTGGAATTGATCGACAGAGAGACGAGACTGCAGGCAGTCCGAGGCGAGACCAGGAGATGAGACTGGGTCCTCCTGCAGGGGCTCCATCACAAAAGCTCTCGAGGAACGGGGGAGGTTGACAGCTGTCTCATCTGACACCGCACCTGGCAAGCCGCCTCCATTCCCCGCTGCATGCATCGTCCACATGGTCTGGCCTCATCGCACTTGACTTTTGATCTTCGGCAAGGCATGCATGCCCTCTTTGTCGCCTTCTTCTTCCCTGTCACGCTCCCTTCATCTGTAACTTCGGCTGCTTCCAGCGGAGATGCATCTGCTGCTACGGAAAAAGAGGAAATGAGGAGGACAAGTGTGCATAACACAGAACCTTGAGATGTTTGTTCGCTATCCATCATGTTGAGCAAAATCGCACTTTTAAAGGTATTGTTCCTGGCATGACAGCAAAGTGAGGAACTTGAAAATACTCTTTTAACACAAAGGACAATGGTCAAAACCAAACCCTGAAGGCCCAAACATAAGCTTGAAGCTCTAGAAAACCTAATACGATGGTCCTGTCCTGACTTATGTTGTGAAACGGCCTGTACAAAGACTTCTTTTCTTCCCTTCCCATGTTCTCCCTAGTCTCTGCTTTACTCTCCTTAACCTACCATGCCCTCGACGTCCTGCCCCTGCCCTCACTACTTCTCGCCTTTGCCACTTGCCAGGCTGCATTGGCGGGGTAACTGCGGGAGGGGGGGGGAGATGTTTTATGTGGGGTAGGGTGGGCCCCCTACTACCCCCCATGGCCCCTCAAAGTGTCAGAGTTTTAGATCACCTAAATATTTGAAGGGGTCAGGGTAGTATAAAAACTTCCGGGTTCAGAGGGTTTCAACTAGACACTTGCAGGCCTTTTCTCCTTGTGTGATGCGTCGCAAAGTACCTGAAGCTTTACTCAATCAAAGTACCCTCCCCCAAAGTTCTAACCCTTTCATGTATCAAAACCCTTTAAAACTATTTTTAAAGATTTATTACTTTTAGACCGTACTCTTAGGGTCGGCACTCCGGGGGCCAGCGCCGGAGCCTTTTCGGCAGTTGAGTCGCGGCAATAGATTATTACTCAAATTTAAGCAAGTAGTAGTTCTGTTTTAACTTAACTTTTTGAGTAAAGATTTGCTAACTTCTATGACACGGACCGTTTGACTGCTGCACAAGTGTAACTGAAATATAACCGCTGCCATAGTGAAGACAGTGTTTTAGTCTTGCAATGGCTCGGCAGTGCCAACGGCGTTCGGTCCGGCCTGGACCGTCGCAATGCACGGTCGCCGTGCCGCGTACCATCATGGCCCCTAGCCTGTCATCAGTGATGATCACACGCGCATCATAGGATGCGACCTCCTTAGGGGAAGAGGAGCATCCCACATGCTCACAGTCAGCAACTGAGGCCCTAAGAGGGGCGCGTTGAGCTCCGGAAGCTTCAGAGCGAGGTTTGTGTTGAGGTGATGCCCGAGCCTCTCGTTGCTAGAAACCCTCTCTCCCGTCGCCTGCGTCTGCTGGACCCTCTAAAAGGAGCTCGCGATCCCGCCCTGCAGGCGTCGGATAGCAGCGCCAAGTCACTTCCTTCATCTCTGCGCCTCCACCTCCACCCAAGATTGCAGGCGACTGGTTCTTTGCTGCCGCAGCCGCAGACTGCAAGAGTAGCACCCAATGAAGCCGCTGAGCTTGAGGGTTCGAGCGACATGGCGACGATTCATGACATTTACCCGATCATATTGCAATCAGCAGTTGATACGGAAACATGTTCTGCCATAGAAAGAGTTCTGTCGGCCGCAAAACAAATAGCTTCATGCAAGAGTGCGACGCTCTTTCTGATTGAGAAGGATGAAAAGAACAACGCAATGCTACGGGTCAAAGGGAGAAGAGGCGACAACGGCTTGTTTCCATGCCAAGGCTTGGCTGGCGCATGTATCAACGAGAAGCGAGCCATCATCAGCAATCGCCCGCACCATGACTCAAGGTTTGATGCGCTTGTTGATTGGGCACCATCTCCAGGAGTGAAGACGATTGCCTGCGTTCCTGTGTACACAATCTTAGGAAAGCTTGTGGGCGTGCTTCAGGTTGCCAACAAAGTTGTCGGAGGATTCACGAGCATGGATATGACCTGTTTGGATCTGCTGGGGAGACAGGCCACTGTCACCTTAGAGTTGTGCAACAAGTTTGAACGAATCGATTCTCAAAACCGAAAGCTGACAACCATCATTAACAGATTCATTGAGCTTGCCAAATGCTCAGATCTTGTCGAACTAGTCCACGCCACCGGCGTTGTCTGCAAAGAAGTCTGTGATGCTGAGAAAGCCAATTGCTTCATCATAGATAACGAGAACATGGACCTGTGCACATGGTCAAAATCTACAGAATCCAAGACAGAAACGTTTAAGGAGAGCAGAATTCCTCTTAAAGGAATCTTTGAGCAAGTTCTGTCTTCATCGACCAATTTCAATTCTTCCCTTAGAATCGAGAACGCGTCGGTAAGTGCGAGACAGCATCTTGGATCTTTATACTGCCCTGTCTCCCACCACTCTAGAGCTGTGGGCTTCTTGCAAGTGAGAAACTGCAAACACGTAAAATTCACCGACAACGATCGAAACAATCTGGAGCTCGTCGGCAACATGGCGGGTGCCCTGCACTACAACTTGATGAAGATGAATCCAGCTGCAAGCCAAGAGCTTCAATCAGCGTGGGAGGATGTCGATGCAGCAGAGCGAAGCATCAACTCCTTTGTTACTGCAGTTGCACAGTGCCGCCACTGCTTCTTGCTCATTCTAGATTCGGAGTCATCGCTCCTTTGGACGAAACGACTAGACAGCAACGGAAACTACATCTATTTTGAAGCCGATAGCTTTCCGTTTTCACACACTCTTCAAAACCAAGGCTCTCTCAACTTTCCATCTGAAACAAAGGACAGACTTTCGGAGAAACAAGTGTTGAAGCTCAAAACGATCTCTAAACTTTTGTGTCCGAACGAAACAATGGAAGCACTCATGACGATAGCACTGCAGGCCTACGGTAAGACCGTTGGGGTTGTCTTGGCCATCAAGTGCGAAGAAAAGCACTCGAGGTTTGATCCTTGGGTCCTCGAAACTGTTAAGATCATGTCAAACTCTTGGGGCCTGAAACTTCAACACATTTTGGAAAAGGAAAGGGCTTCCACAACTTACGATCACTTTTCAGCTGCCATTTCAGCAATTGGCGATTTGTATCACATGGATCATGTATTGAATTGCTACTTTGAAATCGGAAAGCTTGCGGAAAAGCTGTTTGCATTTGAAAGATGTTGGTTCTTCAGGATCCAAGGGAATGGCACACTGTCCGTCAAGCTGCACCCGGACGAAGAACCAAAGAGTGTTGAGCTTTCGGAGGCAGGAATTGCTGGGCGAGCATTTGAGAGTAAGACATACCAGATGAGTCTCAATGTGCATCAGGACAGCAGGCATAGTTACTACCTGAGTATCCTGACCAAGTTTGAAGTCAATAACCTCATCTGTGTTCCTGTCTTTTCAGTTGAATCTGAATCCTCCATGATCGGCATCTTACAGCTCATGAACAAGCGAGGAATAGGCTCTAAGATCAATCAATCTGACGTGACAAAAGTTGAGCAGTTCTCGACCCTTGCGGCAACGCTGGTGCAGAACGCCATGACTAGGAGTGAGTTGAAAGCTGTGAGGAATCGACTCGACTACCAAGTGGACAAGCAGAACTTTATTGTCGAGCAGGCGTCAAAGGTCCATGATCTGTCGCAGTTTGACTCGCTGAATCTTGTCAACGAGATCAAGGCGATGATCCGGTCTACCTTCGGTCCCGTGGAGTGTGTGCTGTTCATGGCAGGACATGGAGGAAGCGCCATGTACGAGCTCAAGGACGACGTCGCTGCTCTCTCCTACTCTGAGGCAGCCTCGGGCATCGCGGGCCATGTCATCAAGACAGGAAGCCTTGTCTTTCACACCCTCGATCACAGCAGCGAGCACTTTGACCCCGCGGTGGATCAGCGAAGCGTCAGGTCAGCCAGCGCCATCCTGTGCGCGCCCCTCGTGCATGGGCAGCGACAGATTGGCTGCATCCAAGTGATCAGCAGGAGCGCGGACGGAGAGAGACGGATCTTCTTGCAGGACGCGCAGCTCCTGCTGCAGCTGGGCAAGCACATCGCGTGTGCCATCCTCAACAACGTCTTGCTCTCGAAAGTTTACGCGTCGGTGAACTTGACAGACCCGGTCAACTTCGAGTCCGACCTGGACCAGCAGCTTGTCAAGTACGGGACGATCGTTCGCGACATCGTCAAAGCCGAACGTGCCAACGTGTTTGTGCGGGAAGGCGGCATGGCGACAGCGATCGATGAGTTCACAGGAAGAAGAATCTTGTTGAGGTCAGACCAAGGGTTCGTCGGCCTGTGCTGCATGACGTCGCAAACGTTGATCGTGAACAACCTCTTACAGGCATGCGGACGTCAATGAAGTCGCAGTGACTGACTGCCCTGCAGGACCCTCGCTTTCAGCCCTCCTTCGACCAACGCGAAGGTCTGAAGCTCTCAAACGCCATCTATGTTCCTGTCATGAACAAGTACCACTCCATCCCTCTGTTCTTAGCCAGCTCACTTTCTTCAAAAGCAAACAGCAAGCATCATTGATCATAGAGATCTTGAACAAGCAATCTGGTTCAGTCTTGCTGAATGATATGCTTGAATCTGATCAAGTGACATGTCAGGAGCATTTGATGGCACGGATGAGATTGTTTCAAAGATGATAGGAAAGAAGATCTCAGAGTCTTTGGCATATCTCAATCATCAAAAACAGCTCAACGATGCAAGGCGGCAGGTGAATCGAAAGCTCCTCCTCGCTGGCCTCACTCATGTTCCCAGACTCTCTCCATGCTCATGTCGTCGCGCTTTCTCTACTCCAGCAGTGGCAGCATTGAAGTCTTGCTGTCTAGCGCCATCTCTCAGATTTCCTCGGTGATGTCAGCGAAAATTAGGATGTACATAGCCATCTTTGATGAGAACAACCTGGTCACTGACTCCTGGAGATGCTTCGAGCATGGAGGGTAACTAGTCACCTTGCATTTCATCTTTCTCATTCACTTCCTCTTCCTCTTCCTCTTCCTCTTCCTCTTCTTCCTCACATTCTCGGCAGGACTTCCACCATCGTGCCCATCGCAGGCATCGCAGGCTCATGTTTCCGCAAGGTGTCTCCAGTCATCGTTCAAGACTCGGGCTTGCAGTGAGTCGGCGAGGTGATTTCACGTCTGACTTGTCATCGCAGAGACCAATGTCAGGGCGATCAAAATGCGCTTGGAAGCGAGTCGAGCATTGTTCGGGATGTCGGGCCCGCCTGTGTCTACATGTGCCATCCTCTTATGGACAACTCTCTCTTGGTAGTTCTCCCACCTTGCTCCTTTAGAATTACCACCAGCACCTCCATGTCTCCCTCCACCACCACCACCTCTTCCTCCTCATCCTCCTCCTCGCCTTCGTCTTCCTCCCCCTCCAGCTCTTCTTCACTACACTCCATCTCACATTCGACTCGCAGCGACCTATTGGAGTCGTCGAGATGCGCAGAAACCTTGAGACGTCCTCATCAAAGGAGTTCACCAAGCTCGAGGAAGACCTCGCGTTCCACATCGCTACTATCCTCGTCGACTCAATGGTGCAAAGAGCTTGCTGATTTATCGAAGCTCCTGATACTCCACAGGTTTTCCACACCAAGTGAGCTGTGTATTGATAAACACAAGCAGCAAGCAGAAGAGCCGTCTGCCATAGACCGCTCACAACAAACACAAGAAAGAATTAACAAGCGCAAGAAAGAATTAACAAGCGCAAGAAAGAATTAACAAGCACAAGAAAGAATTAAACAGCTGTCTCTATCACTTCAGTAGATCTGCTTGCTCCTGCTTGCGGTCAGCCATGGCGCGACACTCTCAGCAGCACCTCAGCTTGGAGCTCAGCTTGTTGAAGAACGACTTCCTCGTCGTCATGTCCTGGATGCACGACGGGGTGCCGGGGAACTTGGTCGCGCTGCCTCCCTGCTTCTCCCACTGGCCAGAAGTCAGGCTCCAGACAAGCAGGACAGACCGAGACAAGCACCGCTAGGTCCTCCTGGTACATCTTGACCGCTACCTCTACGTCGTTGTTGGCAAGCGAGAGGTACGCCTGCAAGCTCCAGTCATGCCTGTCGCCCATCATCGCCTTCACCTTCGCCTCCTCCTGCGACGTTGCGCCTAGTGCACACATACGGCGATGAAGATGAGATAGGAGGCGATCCTGCAGCGGCAGACTTGACGAGCAATGCAGGACAGGCAGACGGAGCTACCTTGACGCCCTCAGCATCGGCGGCTTCGAGGGTTTCCAGCACATTGCTCACACCAAGTCAGGACCAGCAGGAGAAGGTGAGTGGGGGCTCACTTGACCCGTGTTCCGCACGATCGAACGTCCTTGGGCTTCCGCTTGATGCACTTTCCCGATTCGCTAGAGGAGCAGTCATGACATGGTGGCTGCGATACCTCGCCCTCCTGACCTCGGCGGGATGAGCAGAGTGCTGTACTGGACGATAGAGAATCCGAGGACGCCATTCACCTCCTTGATCCTCTGGGAGTTGAAATCAGAGAACTAGAAGGAAAGACAGGAGGAGGAGGAGGAGGAGGAGGAGGAGGAGGAGGATCACCTGTGTCGAGACTCCGTACTTGAGAGAAAGCCCTTGAATCGTGTCGGAAGGTCTGCAGCCGACATTCATCACGAGCATTCTTCCACCAATCTTACCGGACGTAATGAACAATATTCCCGTGCTCGTCCATCTCATACTCTCCGTTTCCAGGAAGCCGCCTGGTGGTTTCTCAGAAACACCGACGAGTGTCAGCTCGCCTTACCGCTGCATGCAAGTCTCGAGGCTCCTGCAGACGGAAGTTAGAGGCAGGACGATAAGGCAGAGGAGCTGACGGGTAGATGCTCTTAGAGTCCTCCTCCGAGGCTTCTTGTAGATTCTTCTCGGCCTCAACTGTGCAATCGATGAGCAGAAGCACACGATCGACTTGCAGGAGGTCAGCAAAACGCACCTAGTCTTCGCTCAAGCTCTGCACTAGCCTCAGACGTCGGACCCTCGTTCTGTTCGCAGATCATGCCGAGTCATGTCAAGGAGGGGGGGACTGACTAAGGAAGAGATGTGGAAGGGAAAGAGTGCAGAGGGGCAGGAAAGCAGTCACTGGGGCAAGCAGGACGATCATGGTCTATCCGCTTCGCACCTGAGAGAATGCAAGAAGCAAGGCAGTAGTGGCAGGGTCCTCAGTATGGTAGGGAAGCCTTTTGCATCCCAGCGCAGACTAGTCAAACTCGTTAGAAACGGTTGGGAGGAGGAAATTCAACCTCCGAGATCTGTCTGCAGCACGACCATCCCGTCCTAACCCCCGTGGCTACAGTGACTCCGCTCCGTCGATAGACTCCTGGATGGAACTGACAGCAAACTTGTCTGCTGAGATTAAAGACTTAGAAAGTTCAGAGGGAATGTCGAGATTCAATTTACCTGTGCTTGTAGTTGGGATCTTCAATGACACATGCATCATGAACGCTCTGGTCCGCAGCCTAAACAAGCTTCAAAACCACCGCAGCCACACAAGTCAGTACACCTTCGCTTCTACTGCATTGTCGGAGGCTGAGAACCAAGATTCGCAATTGACGCATTTCACTTTCATCCCTTGAGGCACTTTCTGTACATGCAGGTAAACAAGCAACATTTTTTCAGCGCAAGAGCGTCTCGACCAGAGGTGTGCTCCACCCAACTTCAAAGAGATGTTTTTCCATCGAGCGTATCTTATTCAGCTCATGAGGCTGCAATCGAGATCATGAGTGAATCATGTCTAGAAAAACATCAGCACTACATCTGGGAATGGCAGCGCAAGTGTAGCATTCTCATCTGCGGCGCAGGGAATGGCCTACGACCTGTCAATGCAGCTCCTTCACACAGAGATGATTACCTCAACAGAACGCTGGTCGGAATGCCAGCTCGATTGAACGTATTCGTCACCTAGCAAAGGAGTTGCAAGGGACGTCTGCACTTGCCGTGGAGACAACAAACTGCCATGAAGCATCAGCATATCGCTGATTGATGTATAAATTCTCACCTCTGAGCAACCATGAGTGTTTGTACGTAGAGCCTGCAGGGTGATGATAGTCACTGCTTGACATAACCTTTCATGTGACAGTGTGCGGGATGTTGTTTACAAAGGGAGTCTAACACAAACTAGAAAAATTCTAAAGCCGATAGCGAGTATTTGACTCGATAGCATGGCGGTTGAGTCAAGCAATGGTTGAGTGCGAGAGGGGATGGTGTCATCAAAGTGAAAGAAAAATCAAAGTGAAGTAGAGCAGGAAAAAGTTCAGGGTAAATCAAGCATTGATGGGCCAGAGTGTTGAAGACATCTCAAGAGCATGTTGAAACACAGCAGGAGAGAGGACGCAGACGCAAGTGCCGCGTATAACAGCATAGCCATCGGCCACAACTTGACACGAGCCGCAAGAGAGCAGCGTCAGGTACAGAAGCAAGCCCATCCCAGACAGCTGCATGGAAGCGCACTTTGTATGCGAGGAATATTTTTATAAAATAGAATGTAGTGATTTAAAGTAATATTCAATATTCAATATTCAATGTATACAAGTATTATATATTGTAAATACTATCAAAATAATTCATATGCAACTATTACCTAGATGTTGTACACATTTCTACATATTTTAGAGGTTTTATTTCTATATAGTTTTAGGTAAAGCTAGAGGCCCGCCGACACTGACCGGCCCGGCTGAGCAACCCGGACCGGCGGACCGGCGGACCGTCCGTGACGGCGTTCCGAGTTCAAGGGTCCGAGCCGTGAGTCGGAACTCAGAACTGCCGACGGACCCGCCGGGTGACCGTCGGACCGTGTCCGATCGGACTCGCGGCGCGGTCGGGCACCGTGACAGTGACGGTGGGCGGCCCGCGGTTAAGTCAAGTTCGGTGGCCGCTGAGATTGTCCAATCAGTCAACCGAGGAGTCCCGCGGCCACGGCGCCCGGGCCGGCCCCGGGCCCCGGATCCGATCGGCCCGGCCTACTACGCGGCCTGGCAGGTGCGCCGCACCGTCCGTCCGCGGCGACGGTACACGCGGCGCTTACTCTCGGCCGGCCGCCCCGGCCGAGGTTTTAAAAAATAACTCACGGCCACGCGGCCTCACTGGGCTGATGCTTTACTCAAGGTTAAGTTAAAAATCAGTACCGTAGTACGGTACGAGGACTATCAGGAGAGGCGAGGGGGCGCGGCTTGACCCTGGTGATACTCGTCACTAAAATCTCAACTTGTGACGGTCCAATTGAATCTTGCAGTGACCGTCGGACTACTAAACTTTAACCCAAGCTAAACCTAAGCTAAACCCAAGCTAAACTTCAATAATAGCGCCTTGAAGAAGAGCACCTTTGATATCTGGGGCCAATTCGCCCCCTTCTCCCTTTCTTCTGCGACACTTTTGTCATCTCTAGTACCCACCTATATCGCTGGAGTATTCATACCCCTACCCCCCTAGCTACCAGGATAAAATAATCAGCTCACCACACCCAGCATCACCCCACCCACTCTCTTAAAAGATACTTTGTCCGACTACCCCTCGGTCTTTACAGGCGACGTGTTCAATTTAAAACCATGTTTTTGTGGTAAACAGTCACGAGGAAGTCGTGATCTGAGCCCTATCTGTATCGAAAATGACTTATTTCGTCAATGTGGAGGACGCATGAAGATTCGAAACGTTTCAATGTCTGATGTGTTCGCTCAGTTTTCAACTCCTGTCAGCAGCCCCCGGTTTGGGCCCACCCTATATGGGCGCATACCCTATTTTCAACGCTTAAAATGACCCCTCCTTTCATTGCATTTGCCCTAAAGGCCTTTTGCAAGCGGCAGACAGGATACAAAGTGCACTGAGCGAGGCAGAGGTCAAGGAACTAGAAGGGAGGGGAACCAGGGAGAAGCTTGCGTGCACAACAAAGCAGACGAACTCATTCGTCTGCAATTCATAAACAATCATTACGATCATCGCCAGTCGAAGGAGGGCTCATAGTATCATTGAGAGCCTTTCCACAGAAATGTCCACACTACAGATATCTTCATGCATGTTCGAAAAGCGCGGCAAGTGCCTGTCTAGATCTTCGTCTTGTACCAAAATTGCAGACATGTGTGTCCGATCTGGCTTGAAGGTGAAGAATCATCCAGCAGGACTCGAGGTGGAAGAACCGATTGATTGTGATGTCTTCAACGACTACACTTCCATTTTCATCTTCAAACAATTGCAAAGGAGTAGAAAACATGGTAACGAAATCGCTCCATCCTGCTACGCTTCGTCTATCACTTCAGAGGGAATGATTGTAGTTGACGGCGGATACCGGTTGGTTCGATTCATGTTTCAAGATCCAGATTCGCCCTCGATCGATCAAGCCGGCAACTTTGTGAGGCATTGAAGAGTCACCTGCTTGGATACGATTGCATGTGTATAGCAAATTCAGAGAATATGCTGCTCAGATCTATCGAGATCTTGTGCTAGCTGTGTATATGTATATTCTTAGTTCTATCGTTTACAGTAAACACCTAAAGAAGGCCTCTCGTTTTGCTTCTATTATCTCTATTGATTTTCTATACAAGGCGGAGGCCTAGAGCCTCTTAAGAACATTTTTTTAAGAACAACTTCTGTCAGCTCCTCGAGGGTCGTCTCCTTCCCATCGCAGAAGCGATTCCTTGAAGAAAGGGTCCAGCAGCTTGTTCTCGAGCACCTGGTTGACGTCACGTCGCAAGGGTGCCATCTTAGGAGAAGTCACGTACTTGAAGCTCTCGATCTCCGAGATCCACGTGCAGCTGCTCTTGCGCAAACCGGAGAAGAACCTCGTCATGCTTGATGAGCTGAGATCTTGTCAGAAGTTGAAAAGATCGCATGGTTGTTGACCTGACGGATTTGCTGCCATCTCCTGTGTCTCGAGAGACGTTTCCACCACTTTGTTATTAAGAGGTTCGCTTGAACCTGCTCGGCATTGTCGACGCACCCGCCCTTCTCACCCAGAGGTCCATCATGGACGGCACGTTCTAATGATTCGCTGCTTTGAGACTGCACAGCACAAAGTGAACAACTATTGGCATTCGAAGAACCGAAGGACACCTCATTTAGTTCAGTCTCCTTCAAGATGTGCTGGAGTGCAGACTGGACGAATCAATTTCAAACATGCTGCATTTCCACACTCTCCTCTACTTGCCTGCCTTTTGTTGTCACACAAGGTGAAGATTGCGTCACGAACATCTTCTTCGAACTTGTGAAGTCTTCGATCACATTCATTAAAGGCTCTCCAGTGCGACTCCTTCCAAATCAGAGAGGCTAAAACTGCAGGAGACAAGTCAAGGTAGGATGAGGATGCCTAGAAGCAGGCGCCTGATCCGATTGAAACACTGTTCTCTCTGTGAAGTGTTTTGTCAACCGAGAGGATTCGTCCAGGCTTTCTCTGATCTTTCCCGACTGCACTCTCATGCCGCCCCTCCAAATTGTCTACGTCCTCATCGCTGGCTGAGGCCCAAAGTCTCTCAACACCTTGAGGAAATAGTGAGGAAAGAAGGGTGAACGCAGAAAACTCACTAGATTCTATCAGCGGAACTCTCGAGCTACCACCCAGCAGGATGATCCTCCCCCCCTGGCGATGTGCTCAGCCATTCATCTTTCCAAAGACTTTCCTTGATTTACCTCGTCAGGAAAATTCTCAATTTGTCCAATCAGGTCCTTCACATGAAGAACAACCTGACACAAATTTATCCGAAAAATCCAGTGCTCTGCTAAAAACATTTACCTGCTCAGCAACATCACTAGTTATCTCCATGAACTGACACTTTGAAAGCTCAATTGAGACATCCTGCAAAAATATGTCATCTTCATGGTTCGTCAGAGCAGCAGGTAACTTGTTTGTACCTTTCCCATAATGTTTTCGGACTCAATCTCTACCATGTCTGCAACTGTGAGATCGCGAACCGCCGGCCCGACAGCCTTTGCACCAAGTGACTGCACAGCTCTTGCTACATCAGCATCGTCTTCACCTTTCTTATTTTGAACTTGGCAGTAGCACTATCCATGAAGGGAAAATTCAGTTGGCTCTGATCAAAGTCAGCCGCAGTCGTGAACGAAAGGCTCGCTAACTGAAATCCATTCCATCACTTTGTTCTCGATGTCAACTCCTCCCAGACTTGGGCAAGTCTTCGTTGCAAGCAATCTGTGACGACGGTAGTGAACAGATTGAAAGAGAAAGAACGCTCAAACGAGCAAGTACTTGATAAATCAAAAAACAGTACAAGTCACAGACATGTCAAAAAGATTAAGTGTGCTAGTTGAATAATTGCCTCACCACATGAATAGCACAACCACCGTCATTACTTCATCATCGTCCATATAGTCACTATTGACACAAACACTACTAAAAACCGCCTCCATCACGATCCTACGATCTGATGATGATCTTCGTCATCATCATCGGCTTGATTATCTTCTCGATCACAAATGCTATCTCCATCTCCGTCATCCATCATTATCCTCATCATCATCACATACCTGATCTTTCCAGCAACAACTTCGTACGCAGCGCACGTGAGTTTGCCACCTCCAAGATCCAAGATGATGAAGGGAGCTACATTCTCCTTCTCCTCTTGCTGCGCTGCAAAAAGTATGGCAGGGCCCAAGGAGCAAGGCACCAAGGTGACAGCGACTTCGTTGAGTTCGCTTCTCCTCGTGAAGCCGCATGCATCGATAGCCTTCTGTGCGGCTCGTGCACACGTCTCCCTTGCTTCTGTTGTGAGAGCGTCGGGGACAGGCAGGATGATTCCTTTCAGCTCCTCGTCGGTGAGCGAAGGAACTTCGGCCAACACAGCGGTCAAGAACTCCTGCAGAACTTCTTCCATGGAGACCTCGTCCTGCCCTACGAGGTAGCTGCTGCGACTGCCTTCAACCTTGAGTGTGTAGCTGCTGTACTTGTCTTGGCTCGTCTTCCCCATGCTGTCCGCCAAAAGGATACGGGGAAAGTCCCTGAGGACCCTCCCGCAGTTCCTCGCAGGTCGAGTGAGCGCGGCACGTCCATAGCGATTGGCAGGAGGCTCGTGATAGAGCACTGACAGGATGCTCTTTTCTCCCAGAGGCTCAAGATGGCGAGGCCACGAGCGCGCCTTGTCCATCAGAGCCAGGCGGGTTTGAGAGGACCCGACGTCGATGCTCAGCATTGCGACTGCCATGCGCTCACTGTTGCGCCTGTCAGTCAAGCATCCGCCATCACCACCTGGTCAATGCCCTGATGAGCCAGTAGCATGCTCCTTGCTCCTCCTCTCCTTCCCGTCCCCTCCTGGTGAGAAGCTGCTGGCATACCTCGCATCTGGCGCGTTCAACCACCACCCTACCCCCTGTTTCTACCCTGTGTGCTTGTCCAAGGGGTGGGTGAGAGTTTCTAGCAAAGGATCTCATGGGTCATGGGGTTTGGGGGAGGGAGGAAACGACGGGAGGACAAGGGCGAGGGGGCGAGAGGAAGGGAGCAGGATGAAGCAGCGGGCGAGGGGATGCAGAGCAGAGGAGCAGAGGAGCAGAGGCATGTGAGATGAGATGAGGAAGGCATGTATGTGAGCTAAAGACAGGCAGAGAATCTTCCAGGAAAGCGATGAGATGTTTGATCAATTAGGATCTCCATGTGTGAATCAAACTGGGAAAATAACTGAGGCAAGACCCCTGATTAAATTCAAAATTCGTGTTGCTGATAGCAAAGAAACCCGTCTTCAATCGTTGTCATCAGCTCAAGATCAATTGGCTTCAATTTGCCTTATCTTCTTGTGATGACTGGTGAGATTCTGAAGTTAAGCCAAGTGTTGTTGACGCAACTCCTGATCTAACGCAGAGCTTTAATTCGTACCCTGGACGCTGCTTACTAATTTCAGCAGGCCCCGCTAAGTTGTTAATCGCTTTCCCCCTTTTTCCCGTCACGCACCGCATGAAGTCGAGCAAACAGCGAAGACTATGAAAGTTGAAGACATTGTCATGTGCATATGAATGAGAACTGGAGGTGTTGGGAGTTGCGACAAGTTGATCTTCATGGCTGCCGTCGCGGTTGGGCTTCAGGCCTGGCCTGCATACAGACTTGTGGTTTCGATTTTTTGTTTCTTTTTGTTTTGAAAAAAACAACTGTAAAAGAATGCTTCCACCCTACCCCCCTGGGATACTAGTTTGTGACAACCCCTGCTCCAGGCAGCGTCCCATAAAACGAGTGTCATGGAGGAATGAGGGAGAAATGGAACGAGGGGCAGCAGATGAGAGGGAGGGTAACAACATGTGACTGAGCGATGTCAAGGGAGGGTCACAACATGTGACTGAGCGATGTCAAGGGAGGGTAACATGTGACTGAGCGATGTCAAGGGAGGGTAACATGTGACTGAGCGATGTCAAGGGAGGGTCACAACATGTGACTGAGCGATGTCAAGGGAGGGTAACAACATGTGACTGAGCGATGTCAAGGGAGGGTAACATGTGACTGAGCGATGTCAAGGGAAGATGGTCGAGAAACAGGACTGGCAGGAGGTAGGACGTTGGGGAGCTAGACGAATTAGCCTTGGAGGCAGATAGAACAGAAGGACAGAAGTGAGAGGGAGCTGAGCGTTCAGGATGCTGACGTGGCTGGAAGGTGCCAGTCCTTAGAGCTGAGATGATGATGATGATGATGATGATGATGATGATGATGATAAGGAGGAGGAGGAGGAGGAGTCAAACACTGACGCGAAGGCTCAGGGGAACTTGACGGAGGAGGAAACCAGGGCTGATGGTCAAGCTGACGAAGAGAGCGAGCTGAGAGTAGCGACATAGTTGCTGAGAAGCTCGTGGTTGATTGTTTGTAGGGAAGCTCCTACCCCCATGCTTCCTTCAACTTCTTCTATTATATTTACGCTCGGTCTGGCTGTGACTTGTTCTTATCCTGTGCGCTCCTTCATTATTTCCCCTGTGTCGCCAACGAGACCGTCACTCGGCTATTCGGGGAAACTCGCGCCATGTGAGCAACGTTTGCGACGCCATCAAGTTTGACGAGCCTGCAGGTCATCTGAGAAGCTCTTATCCATGGAAGCTGGCGCGCATGAGAGCCGAGGTCAAGACGAGCGAGACTTCAAAAATTACGCCAGTGGAGTACAAAGACAGCTGGCTTGATCGAAAGCTGCAAAGGTAAAGCAAAATCATCTCATACCTTTCAATCTCTGATGTGTTGTTCCCTGCAGTTACATGGAGTACCGCATCACTCGTGTTCTTCAGAACTCTGCAGATGGTGACAGGTAGCAAACACTCGTCATCGCTCCATCTCAAGTTTACATCTTATAGATCCGAGCGTGAGCGAGAGTCAAAGCATGAGGGTGACTTGAAGGGTGCGAAGGAATATGACAAGATGATTGAATCTGCTGGGCGACTAGCGAGAAGAAAAGGGTTGATCCTCTTGTGTTTCATGGTGACAGTCGATTGAACGTTTCGTAGCTCGCAAACCCAAGAATTGACTTTGAGGTTGTTGAGAGATTCTTTCCCTTCTTGGTTCCCTCGAGGTGATTTCATTGATTTCTGTTGCTCTTGTGACCTCACCGCAGCATTCGGATCCTTTCTTCGCTTGTTTCCCCTCTGGTTTGATGCTCGTCATGCAGCTGTAGCAGTCAAGATATGATTGAGCGTAGATTGATTTATGTGAAGGTGTCAACAGTCTTCTTGACCCGCTGGTTAGTTGGTGAGAACACAGATGGTATGATGAAACCTTTTGATATCATGGGAAGGTGAAAGCAAGGTTGTCGACGTAGACCAAGATTTGCTGGATCCTGTGCAAGAGGTCTTCCATTGGCCTTCCCTTTTCCTCTCTTTAGCGTTTGCTTCTAGGGCAAAGAAAAGTGGGGAAACGACCCTGTCGGCTGGGTTCCTGGATTCCTGGTGGGAGGAAACTGGCGGAAGGAGGTGAGAAAGGCAAGCAAGACATATTTTTTGCTGAGAATGAACAGAAGGGAGCTGGCCAAGGGGTGCAAATAACTCGATGTCGAGTTCTAGAGCAAACCAATTGCGTATCAGTCTGCTGCAATGTCTGCAAGGTTCCAACTCAGGTGAATGGAAGAATGCAGAGGAAAGCAAACTCATGATGCAGTAGAATTTCTTCACCAACGACATTGGACTACCACTTACGATGATTCCTGACTATGAAACTCTTGGCTGCAGTACACAAAGATTTTGATTCTTCACTTTGGTTGACGATTTCGCAGCGTTTGTGTTTGGAGCAACTCCCCCACCGCTCGAGGATGATGAAGGTGAGAAAAGCATTGCGTGCTGATGATGATCAACATTTATTTCTTATGTCCACAGCGTTCAAACATCCATGCATGAAGCTTTGTTCCTTGAATACTCGCGCGAAATCGGATCAGGTGTATGATTCATATTTTTCATCTTGGATCTCACTCTTGTGAAACACAGGAAGCGGGTCTAGACATTGCATGTTCTCGTCTAGATGTACCCGAGAAATAATCATGTTTCCTCCTCCTCAAATTACTTGGCTTTCTCTCTGCGCATCTTTCGCTTTTGCTGCTTAGACAACTGCTGTCCTTCTCTCTTGGTCAATCCCCTTAGCGTTTTAGCCTTCAACTCATCGCGACTCAATGGTCTTTCCTCCTGTAAAAAACGATCTTGTTAAAGGGAGTTCTCTCACAAGTTTTTGATTACATCTTCATCACTCTCTTCCTCCGTTTCATCTTCGTCGCCGATCACTGGAGGGTCGATGTTGATTACTGTGCTTCCTGCTGGGGCGGCAGGTCCTTGGCCAAAGACAGCCACGACATCTCCAGATCCTTCCTTGTCTTTCGAAGTCTTCTGATAGATTTGAAGCAGTTCGTTGGTCCGCTGCTCGATGATCCCAAGGTACCTGGCAAGCAGATCAACTCTCGCGCTCTTCATCAAGTATTGTCCTACTGCATCATATTGGACTCCGTGACTCCGGTGGTACCCAGCATGTCACTCAGAGCTGCTTTGTCACATCCGATCTTGTTGAATATGCTTTGAATGCCTTGCTCCAGCTGGCTGACAGTCTTGGCAGCTTTGAGAGCCTTTGCTTCGTATTGTTCTGCTCTCGCCTCCGTGCTGGCAAGACGGTCTTCGAGGTCCTTGAGTAATTTCTTCCTCTGGCGATCATTCTGGCCACCTTGTCCCTTGTATTTTTCAATTTCTGTCTTGATGTCAGCAATCTGCTCTTCCAGCTTCTCGATCTCATTATTCAATTCGTTCACGTAGTTGAATAGAGAGAAATTTTGATCTTCAGCATCGATGAACCTGAAAAGTCAAAGTGAGCTACAAGACTTCATTGCTTGAAAAAATGATTACGTTTGAACAAGCTCGTCGATATTGTCGATGCCAGTCGCATTCTTTATCTCGTTGAAAGCTTCCTCAAAGCTTTGAGCGCGATCAAGATTGGCTTTTTGAGCTGCTTTGTCCTTGGCTGTGTTCCAGCTGCCTCGGACCAGCGTTTTGCGCAGAGCTGCACTGTCGTCCTCAGCACTTCGACTTCTTTCCTGCCCGGCCATTCTTTCTTTCAGCCTCCTGTCCTGTTCCAGAACTCTTCCAAGCTCTCTCCATTCCTGTTCGAATTGAGCTTGTTCTTTGTCGGCGTGGGCTTTCAAGAGCGACATCTCATTTTGTGCCTGATCACGAGCCTCATAGGCGATGTTTGAAATTTCAATGATTTGGGCCATTTCTTTCTTCTTCTCATGAAGTTCTTTGGCTAGTTTTGCATTGATTTGATCAAAAATGACTCTTTCACGCCTCAAGTTGTCGATCTCCTCTCTCAACTTCTTGTTATATGCTAGCGCTTCATTGAACTTGATCAGGGCCTTGTCAAGTCGATTTTCAAGCACTCTTATTTGTTTTTGTACAGATCGATCGACTTCTTTGCAAGCATTGACCCCTCCGCGTGATGATTGCATGTCCAGCATTTTGGCTGTGAGGACTTTAGTTTGTTTCTCAAAATCTTCGAGTCGACGTTTTTCCAAGTCAATCTTTCTCTGATACTTTTCAACTGTATCCTGCAAGCCTGCAACAGATAGCCTTGTCAGTCTGGGTGTTACCAAGGAAGGAGGTACTCACTCGCAATAAATGAAATGGCATGCCCGTTTTCATTCGTATTTTGCTGTGCTTCCGATGACAGCTGCTCCTTCAACCTTTCATTTTCCTTCTTGATTTTCTCAATCGCCTTGATTGATAGGTTCTATTAGAAAACTTGACTCCGGATCAACAAATTCTTGCCTGTCTTTGCCGCTTTATGATGTTTTGGGACTCCTCAGAATAACGCTGCCGATCAGTCTCCATCATCCTGTAGCTGCGCTGCAAAGCAGCGAGTTCTGCTTCTTTATCTGCATCTGTGCAGTAACAGTCACAGATAAGACAAGAATCAAGATTAATTTTGACAACCTGCCATGATGGATTGTTTCAAAAGGCTCAGTTCCTTTCCAACCGCTGCTGCTTTACCTCAAATGCCCTCGTCGAAACAAGACGAGGAAGAAGCAGTTTTGAATTTATTTGTCTGAGAGCAGTTGTTTGTCACGATGTTTCGATTGTTTCACTGTTTGTCCGTGCTTCCTCTGCTCTTTCCCTTGAGCCTCTCAGACGCACTCTGCAATCCCTCGCGCCATGTTGGGGCCTCAACTGACAAAGCACCAGGGGTACTCAAGTAGCGGGGGGTACTTGTGTAACATGATGACGATAACCGTTCCTAGGGTAGGTAGTACTAGCGATCACCATCGGACCCCGCCAGCCGCCAGCCCGGTGATGGGGAAGTGGGGTGGTGGGGTCCCCGCTCGGAGCTGGTATGACAGTCCGTAGTTTCAGTGACTCACTCACTGTACGGTAGGCCGGGCCGGGCCCACCGTCGGTGGCACTGGGCCGCGGCACCGCGCCGGGCCTGATACCCGGGGCGCCGTAGGCAGGCTGCCCGTCACAGGCCGCTGTACGGCTGAAAGTTTACTCAAACTCGGTTAACTTAACTGATACCTTCAAACGGTTCACAGGCTCGAGTCCCGGGAGTTTTGCCCCGCACCACGGCATTAGGCCGGCCCGGGGCGGCCAGCCTATCCGACGGTCGCAAGGTGCCATCATTGATCGGATCCGATGCCTCACTGATCACCGGCCTCGTTCACGCCGGTGCGACTCTCGGCCCGGCCCGGCGTCGGACTCTCAGTCGCGGCGGCCGCCGGGCCGGGCCCGGCTGAGTGACTGCCAATAAATGCAACGGTTTGTAACCGATATGTCCCTTCCCATCGTAGGCCGCTGTTAATCACCCACCCCTGTCCAGTCGGTTGGCCTACCTCCACCCACCACCCCTGTTGTCTACCTGCATGTTTGAAATTCTCCTCAGGGAAGACGCACCGATCGTGGTTGAACCAACGAACAGTGTGAGGTGCAGGTGAAAGGTAGATAAGCCTTTTTACTTAAAGATTAAAATATGAAATCTCTATGCCTGAAGGGATTCTCGAAGTGCCGGTATCGTTGGACCCCACCGACCTTTTTTGCTTTGAGGTTTTGAGGGGTGTGGGTACCCACCCCTTCCCTCTCTGTACCCTACCCTGTGTTGCCTTCTCCCCGATCCCTTAACCTCACAGACCGGGAAGCCATGGTGTGGAATCGTCCGCGAAGGCGGTGAGAGGAGGGGGAATGGAGATGAGAGTGATGTCGATCACATGTTTCCTGCTTCATTCTCAATGCTGGTCTCCTTCCTTTTCTACTCGTGATGGAATGATGTCATATTCCTGTAGAAACTCTTCGATGTGAATATCTTCTTCTTGTTAACACCCTAGTTGTGCAATTTTGGAAATCAGGGGGAGAATTCTGAAGGACTTTTGTACCTAGCACTGTCGTTCATTGAGGAATCTCTGTGTACGTCACGAATTTTTTCACGTGTAGGCATGAAAAGAGTTCAGTATTGTGTTCGTCAGATGTGTCTTTTCGTGTGAAAAGGATAGTTGACAGAATTCCAAGATATGAATATCTGGAAATTTTATGAAATTCTATGGATCTTCTTGATCGTTCGAAGCAGCATTGATCTTCACCTAGCATCTGACGTTGTACCGTCCAGATGAGCTGGTCCCTTCCTGCAAGGCAAACATGACAATACAAGGCCAAAACATAATGAAACAGCTTTTGTGGATTCTACTTGTGATGTTGGTTCAACACCCAGCTGAAGGTGTGTCCTCTTTGCATCAGAGTATTGGAATGATCTGATATCGATGCAATCTAGGAGGTCATTTCAAATATGCTTCCTTGAGTTGGAGTAAACCAGCTGACCTCCCTTCAAGCTACGTTCGCTTTACCTTGGTGACTGCACTTGTTTTTTCTCGATGTTGTTTCGGCTTGTGACTTTAATTTAGGTGAGTGCCTGGAGCACAGAGTTCTTACCTTTCAAGTACCAAACGCAGAATCAACAGATCGCTGTGGGGGACACAATTCGAATCCAAGGGCTTGGCAATCCCGTTCTAAATTTTGGAGATGGACAGTCCAGCATCGTGTTAACAAAAGTTTTGCTTGTGGACAATGAACTGAAAATGTGGAGAGGTGAAGCCGTAATTGAACACGAATATGCAGATGTTTCTCAGAATTACGTGGCATATTTCTCAGGCTGTTGTCGATCACAGTCTGTGCTAAACAGGAATGATGGCTACTTCAACGTTTCAAGTGAGGTTCTGATGTCAGATGCCATTCTTTTTACACCGCACTTTGCCATCTTGCCAAGAGTTATCTTGCAGACAGATGCGTTGACCCCTTTCTATCTCACTGCTTATGATTCTGGTCCACACCCGCTGCAATCACAAAATGCATCCCGCTTCGTGTGGTTTTTAAGGAATGAGACCTTCTGGAACGCGAATGGACTTTACATTAACCAAACGACGGGAGCAATGTGGGTCAACATGACTGATCTTGCCAAATCTACTGCTGCAGCAGAAAATCTGTATTGGATGCAAGTCGAAGTCACTGATGCCGAGCATAACACGAAGGCAGTAGCGGACTTCGAACTTCAAATATTTGGTGTGCAGACTTCGATTCCAGTATATGACAGCAACTTCAGTCAAGGAATAGATGCTTATCCTGCAGTGAACGAAGCGTACAAGATGTACACTTATCAGTACGTGCTTCGGTTCATGATGCCTGGTGCCGATCCAGTGTCGTTGAGATTGTTAACCAGCAGTGTGCCTGATGGGTTTGTTGTGAGTGACGTCAATCCCATGCTCTCGAACGTGCGGGGAGGCTATACAGGGTATGAAGCTTCGGTCGTTTGGACCGTTCCTGCCATCATGGATAGTTGGACTGTAATATGTCTTCAAGTCTTCGTGAATAGTACTAATCCCATCGGATCGGCACAATCGTGTATTGACTTCTACATGAGACAAGATCACGGACCTGTGTGGGAGAACCCAAAGCAGAGCAGAGTTGAAGAGTACATCTTCATGGGTCAAACATGGACGTATGAACTGGTTGCAAAGGATATGAATCTAGCTGACAACATCACCATCACGCCGATTGGTTTGCCGTGAGTTGATTTGATGTTTCTACAATTAGTGTCATACTGAACGATTTCTCTTTGATTCATTGCAGGTCGGGAGCTGCTGTAACGCCTGTGTATCGGGATTCAAACTCACAATCTAATATTGTTTCGATGAATGTGACTTGGGTGCCTCCTCCAAAGTCAGGCGGGGAAGTACGCGACTTCTGCTTCCAGGCATCTGATTACCTCAACGGCAAGAACGGAGGAGGTTCCTCACAGGTTTGCTTTGAACTGAGGATACCAAAGTGTCTTTACATGGTGAGGACTGGGGATACTCTTAAATCGATTGCAGCAAACTTCAGCACGAGTTGGCTGCAACTGTGGGCGCTGAACAAGGGTATCTCGAAGCCAGAAGGCTATGGACTTGAGGGGGGGATCACTGCCGGGCAGCTAATCAACGTCGGTCAGCTCGTGCTCATCAATCCGGGTGATACTCTGGAGAAGCTCGCGGCGAAATTTGGTACGACCATGCGGCTCATCCTGGACATGAACCAGGACATTACACCCTTACAACCGTTGGTGGTTGGGCAGCACGTATGCGTCATCCCCAGCAGCTGTGCAGAGAGGGCTCTGTAATTGTTGTTGTCTCCTTGAAAGGGGGGGGGAAGAGGGGGGGGTATCGTCTTGTACTTGATGCTTTGACAAGAGCTAGGCTCTTGGGCTTGTCTTGAAGCCTCACTTTAAACTCCTGGATTTGCATCTGGGATTTAGCTTAGAAATTGTATTATGAAACTGTTTGTTAGTCGCTTGTTATCTACTTTCCTAACGGCGTTCCGAATTGATAAACGAATAGCGAATCTTATTTGTCGCGCGCTGCGAACGGGTTTCTCCCCATGGCCGCAGTGTACACTGTGATGAAGTCAGGGAAAAGCAGAAACACTCGCACAACTCACAAGCTGCGTAGCTTGTTATTTCGTTGCTCTTGAGCCCAACTGAGATTCGTTGCTTCATCTGCCGCTGTCCGTCAGTCACCGGAATCTTGTTTTCTTGGAGAACCAGAGGCGTGCTAAACCATCCAATTTCATGGCTGCTTGTGATGGGAGCAGCATACTTCTCCGTCGGAACCTTGCGAGTCTCTTTGATTGTCTTGTCCAACTCCTCTACGAGAAAGCGACTCAGAAATGAACATGTAGGGCAAACAGACCCATGATGTCGTGCGACGCTCCTGATGCTTCACCAAACCTCTGCAGGTCTTCATTCGGCTTTCCAGTGACCATACTATTGACAAGATTCTTGGGATTAAGACGAAAAGTCTCGTTTAGGCGTGCATTCTTGCGCTCTTTCCGGATAGTTTCTGCCCTTATAAGATTCAAAGCAACCTGCACGTTTGTCATTCAGTAATCAAGAATTACACTGAACGTACCTCATCAAACTTGATTTCCTTCTGAGATTCGCCCATTACCAGTAATCTTCCACTCGAAGCTTTAGATGAGTGAGTAAACCTATGCAGGTTTCGATCAGAGCCAATTGTTGAAGTGAGATTCAGAGTCACAAGAATGGTCCTGCTATTCTCTTTCTTCACAAGCTCTCGAATGAAAACGAAACCCATCTCCTCAATCATCATTACAAAGCTGTGTAAAGCGGTGAAACTGAGCAGATACCTCTCGTGTTGAGCCTAGGTGCTGTACTCCTGCATCACCCTCCCCTGTTGTCTTCTTCTCTCACCCAGCATGCTATCAATCCTACAGCATCTCCACGTCGCTGCCCTTCCTCTCTCTCTCTCTCCTCGTCGCTGCCCTCCCCCCGTCATTCTCCTCGTCGCTGCCCTCCCTCTCCCTCCCTCCCTCTCTCCCTCTCCTCGTCGCTGCCCTCCCCCTGTCATTCTCCTCGTCGCTGCCGTCCCTGCCTCGGAGCCCCAGGCATTAAAAACGGCTGTTACGGTTTCCATCTGTAACGAGGCGGACGCGACCACGCTGCCAAGACAATGAGAATTATAACTGATGAGATGTGAAGAGTTTGATCGACTCGAGACCTGCATGAAAGTGTAGAGAGTTTACTTCTACTACACAGTAAGAGCTGTTGGGTATCTCCCCTATCAGTCAAGGTCTATTTCTCTTCTATTCTCCTCGCAGGTCACGAAAGCTCACATATCGTTTGTGCCCTGACGCATTTCGTAGTTTCATGAAAGAGCGCAAGACAAGCTGCAGCTCGCAGACATGGCGCGACACCCCCACCCTCCCGCTCTCCTCCCCTACCACGCACAGATTGATCGCCACGTCCCGATACCCAGCCGACCCCCTCGCGTCGTACGCCTCGTCGAAGCGGTTCTTGATGCGCATCACCCGGATCTCGCTGTCCCTCGTGATCGCCTGCACTGCCACGCTGAGGTCCTGCAGGCTGTCGAACACGATCGCCTCGCGTACCACATCCACCAGCTTGCTCACGTCCCCGCCGTACGACCTCACGATCTTCTCCACCGCCCTTGTCGACCCCTTCAGCCCTGCCCACTTGATCTTCGCCTCCTCCTCCGGCTTCCCTGCCGCCTCTCGCCATGAGATGTACGAGGCAGCTCCATCCTCTCCTCGCCCAGCAAAGTAGCCGCCGGCGATGTGAGCAATGTGCTGCACCTTGCGGAGGAAGAGGGGATAGACAAGAATGGCTTGCGCGTAGAGCTGATCCAGGGATTTCACTGGGCTTGGCTGGATGTTCGGAGTTGGCAGAATTGTCAAGCTTACTTGTGGGTTGGATGAAACGAAGTTCTGGTCGCTTTCAGTCTGGTGAATTTCATCGAAAAGTTGGCGAACGATCGTTTCTCTAACATTCTCTTGCACACGTTTCAGCATTTCTTGTTGATCGGAGATATCAGTCTGTACTATAGATTTCCATTCTGTTTCGTATGCCTTGAGGTCTTTTTCAATCTTCTTGAATGAAATGAATTTGCTCACGTATCTGGCGAGTGTGATCAAGGCGTAGATGCACAAGAAGGCGAAGGGGTCTGGTTGAAGGTAAAACGACAGTCGTCCGCATATCACAACAGAGTGGACTCCTGACAGCGCAAAGACTGTACCCCACAAGACCGGGATGAATGAGAGGAACCATTTTTGCCTGAACCAAGCAAGACAACCCAGCATGATCCACAAGATTCCCTGAATGATTGTGTCGAAATTCGCATAAAACAAATCTCTTCCTTCCACCCACTGACCCAGCATAACCACGAGAACAGAAACGCCAGGACCCGCAATGGAACAACAAAAGAAAGCTTGAGAAAGTCGTATCAAATTGCAAATTCGTGAAAGAGCTGTGATAAGAAACGCGAATATCATGGGGATGTAACAACCATATTGTAACAAGTTAAAGTTCCAAGTCGCTCGGAGATCGACTTCGGAAAACGATCCTCGTTGAAGGCTCGTCAAAAAGTTTTTCGATCCCTTCACAGCATCCTCTCCGCACTGAAGATGGAGAAACTGGCTCGAAGATGTGGCAATCAACGTCCAATCCTTCTTGGCTACTGATGGCTGCCTGGGATCGAAATCCTCCTCCATGCGGTATATTTGAAAAATTACCGCGTCAGCCCATTCGGTGCCCTGCTCTTCATTATTCCTGAAGCGAACGGCATTGAACCCCAGCACTTCTTTCGAATACAAAACAGCGTCAGCTCCATTAAGCCAAAGTTTGGTTGAAGTTTGGTTGACACGACAGCCAGATCTGTACAGAACAAGGTCAGAGACCGAGGGCTTAGTGAGCAAAGCTGCATCAGTCCCATTGCGAGTCTTTACAGTTCTGAAGAGGACCGCTCGAGCTGAGAAAAGATTCATGCTCTCGTTGTCATGGCGGTGCAGAACAAAGAGACCGAGGAGCCCAAATACGATGAGAGAAAACAAGAAAATTGTTTGAAACTTCCATAGCAGAGCCCTTACAGGTGTTGCAGAAAACAAAACGCTGGTCCAGCTTGCATTGCGAAAACCGTTCGAGCCGTTCTCAAGAGCCCGATCAAGAATATTACATGGCAAAGAAATCTTTAGCATCGAAAACTGAAAGAGCCGTGAGAAGCCATCGCATGACTTGATAAAGTCGTCGAAAGAATTTTGTGCTTTATCTGCTAAGTCTGAAGCATAATCAGACACTCGTCGCGTTGAAATAGCAATATCCTTGACGCGAATCGGCTTCTTAGACTTCAAAAACATGTCAACCTTTCTCTGAAACGCAGCAGTGAGAGATCGAAGAAAGTCACAATAACAACTCTTATAGTGCAAGTATCGTGAATGCTGATCAGAACTTTCGATGATGGATAACTCTCTCAACTTGCATTGAAGCTCGCAGACATGGCGCGACACCCCCACCCTCCCGCTCTCCTCCCCTACCACGCACAGATTGATCGCCACGTCCCGATACCCCGCCGACCCCCTCGCGTCGTACGCCTCGTCGAAGCGGTTCTTGATGCGCATCACCCGGATCTCGCTGTCCCTCGTGATCGCCTGCACTGCCACGCTGAGGTCCTGCAGGCTGTCGAACACGATCGCCTCGCGTACCACATCCACCAGCTTGCTCACGTCCCCGCCGTACGACCTCACGATCTTCTCCACCGCCCTTGTCGACCCCTTCAGCCCTGCCCACTTGATCTTCGCCTCCTCCTCCGGCTTCCCTGCCGCCTCTCGCCATGAGATGTACGAGGCAGCTCCATCCTCTCCTCGCCCAGCAAAGTAGCCGCCGGCGATGTGAGCAATGTGCTGCACCTTGCGGAGGAAGAGGGGATAGACAAGAATGGCTTGCGCGTAGAGCTGATCCAAATTCGAGATGCAATATGCCTGATATTCAGCTTTGGCTCTGTCGATGAAGGTAGAACGAAACAGTTTGTTCTTCATCTTGAGCGAAGCTGGCGAATTTCGCTCGACAACGACTGCCCCTTTTCCGAGATCAATCTGTTTTGTAGAAGTTATACTTTGCATTGCAGCTTGAAATCGCTGTGAGATTTCATAGGACTCTCGTTGCACTGTCAACAAGGTTTTTTGAATGCTCTGCAAGTATATATGAGCATGTTCATTACGCGAAATTCTGTCCCATGCTTTATCAAACTGTTGCTCATCCTGTCTCACGTCGAAACGAGCTTTTCGCGAAACGTAGATTTGGGTCATAATCACCGAGATCATCACGGCAGCGACAAAACATTCAGAAAGAATCTGAGAATTGCCGTTCGACACTTTGTCGATCAGGTTAACCGCTGCCCAGATAAGTCCAAACTCAAAACCAAAAATATCTGAAAAAATCAGTGGAGTCGGGAAAAGAAGGAGGGTCTGCAACGCAGGTCATTGAATTCGACAGAAAAATTGAAATCGAACCGTCAAGCCTTCTGTCAAGGGCACGCCATAGCACTCGCCGCCGATTCGAAAGAGGATGGCCGATCCGATCAACAACAGGGATGCAATGGTGAATCCAGTGCACAAAATCTGAGAATCGCAGTTGCTGTCAGAAGTCAGCGTCAAACACGCATCACACTCACCAGCATTAAATCATCACTGCCATGCCATACAAAAAGGAAGCCCAGCATTAGAGAAAACACTTCAATCAGCCGCGCAACAGAAACCAAGATGGTTGGTGTCATACACCATGATGATGTAAAATCAAAGACAACCTCGCCACCTCGCGTAGTCGGCATCTCTATCCCTTCGTAATTCAACTCCAAGGAGTCTCTGATCAAAGAGCAATATGGTTTGCTCACTGCTAAATTCTTCCACTTCTCGCCATCTTCCGATATTTCGAGAATCACCAAAGACATGTCGGTGACTGGTGAGTCATATCCGTTCCTCAAGAACCACCCGTTGAAGGCAACAGGCTGCTCATACTCATTCACGATTCGGTCCCCCGTGCGACGAGAGCTCGCAGGCTCAAGGTAGCATCCATTCATTAAAAGTCCAGCCTCCCCCGCGAAGCCTACATCTTGTCCTGCTGATCCGTTGCGCATCATTAGCACTGAAAATCTGGCGAAACGAGAATGCAGAGTGACGGAATTTGAGTCCCAGAGAGTTGAATCAAAGAGAAAACGGTTCGGGCTAAGAGCTATCATAGTCGCCCACAGCAAAAGTAGCTGGGGGGCTGATCTCAATGATGATGAAATTGGCTTTTTCGCAAAAGATTGTAGACAGAGAATCTTGCCGATGCTTCTAGAATCTGTCGCTCTAGAAAATCACCAGGCTGAAGGGCAAATCGTCTGACGTAATGAATGAAATACTCTTTCTGCTCTTCCAATGCTGTAGACATCCGATTGTCGCCCTGGAATTCATCAGTGAAAGGATGAGGTTGAGACTCCATCCCTTGTGGGTTAACCTCTCTTTGTAGTTGATTTACTTCCTGATCTTCTTACAGGACCATGGCGTCTCGTCTTTCCCGCATGTCCCACCTGTGCATATCATCGCTCCCATAGCAATAAAGGAGCACGCTGAGGGAGTGGGTGGGGTCGTAAATTCGGGTCCATTTTATGTATTTCTGGTCTACATTGGGACGGGTGGCCGCTGCTGTTCTGGAGGGTTGTCTCTGTTTCGGACTCCTTTCAGGGGGTGGGGTACACGAACAATGGATTTAATGCAGGGGGTGGGTACTTTACACTTCTGCCAGTCAAACTCCCCGGCCGTGACTCGAAGGCCGCCCGGCCGCAAGAGTTCTTAAGGTCGCCGAAGGCGAGTCTCAGGCTCAGTGCCTGAGCCACGGGCCGGGCCGGGCCGGCCCGGCAAAAAGCAGTACGAGGACAATCAGGAGAGGCGAGGAGGCTTGACCCTGATGACACTACTGTCGCACAGGCCAAACGGCGAGAATCAAGAGAAAAGACAGCGAGAACCAAACCTAATCCTGCCGACTGCTGTCCCCGCACTAGTCAATTCAAGTATACAGCCTGGCAGTAACCGTGAACTCTAGGGCCGGGTAGGCGGCACCGGGCTTCATGTGGTACTACCATAGTACTGGGCGGCGCCGCCTCAGGGCCCGGGGCCCGGGGCCGGGGTTGCCTGTCACTGCCAAGTTGAAGGGCCATAAATCCGAGGATTCTCGGAGCTTCGAAAATTTTGGCGGGAACCAAGCAGGGCCCGGGAGGGGCAGGAAGCGTGTTGATAAGCGAAGCATAACCAAGACATCTTGAGAGGATCTTGAGAGCATAGCAGCGAAGAGATCTTGAGAGCATAGCAGCGAAGAGATCTTGAGAGCATAGAAGCATCAGAGCTCACATTATTTGATCACGCAAGCTCATCTTTATTGATCCCACACAGCCCCAAAAAAGATACTTCTGCTCTTCGACCTCAACTTGGCACGGCAAAAATGCGGTCAGGGTTTTTGGTCAAATCCAAAAAGGCATGCTATTCGGAAGGCGAGATTGAAGAGAAACTATTGGAAATGAAAGCAAAGCCATATGACAAGGAAGTTCAAGAGAAAGCTTGTGTTTACATTTCGGATCTTTGGGAAAGGCGTGATGTCCATCATGTTGTATTGAAGCATGGTGGCATCGAAATGTTGATCGCTGCTCTCAAGAATTATCCTAATGTCACTCACATACAATTTTCCGCACTCTGGGACTTGAAGTATCTTGCAGGGCATACTTCTCAAAGAATCAAACAGATTCAATCAGGAGTAATTGACCTGCTCATAATCATGATGAAGTCGCACCAAGAAATTCTAATGCTGCAGCAACTCGGCATGGAATTTCTCACAGAGTTTGCCATAAATGGGCAAGAAAAGGCTTGTGCAAGACCTGAAATACTTGACATCGTGAATCACTCGATGCGGAAACACCGGCAGTGTGCTGATTTCCTTTATTTTGCCATTTATTTCGTAGCAGCCATTACTGAAGTTGATGGAGTGATCAAGGCCATAATTGACAAGGGTATTCTCAGAGGGGTAGTGGATGTCATGAAATCTACCTGCCACGATGAGGAGGTTCAGGCAGCCATCGTCACTCTACTGGCGAGAATCAGCCAGGGTGAATTTATCGAAACCATCGTGAAGGAGGCAGACATGGATGTGATAGCTCAAGCCATGAAAAGATTCCCGAGCAGCCAGAAGATACAAGCTGGAGTTTGTCAAATTATCGATAAATGCAGACTGAGCGTCGAATTTGAAGATGTGTTTGGTCAAAAGAGAGCCGTTGAGCATTTGGTTGAATTGCTGGATGAGTGTAAGAAACCTGGTATGATCGAATACGCTTTAAACGCCATTACCAGTATTGCGGCCTCCAAATCACTTGCTTCGAAATTGAAATCAGCCGGAGCTATTGAGATAGTCAGAAGGCTCCTCGATGAGAATCCTCATTCCGTGCAAGTTCAGAACCAAGCAAGATCCTTCCTTACGATCATGAGCTTGCATGTCACTGATGACAAATTCTCTGCAACTGGGAGGGGCGGGTTTGATAATACAAGCAAGTCATTGGGGAAAAAATCTGAAGAAAGATCCCGCCTGAACCCAAATAGCAAAAAGCAAACATCCTCTGTCAACAGTTTCGAGAAAGATGAAATTGAAAGGATTGTTGCAAGCATCGAAGGAAGATCAGCACAAAGTAAAGAGAATGTTAAGAAAGGCAAAGGCCAGAAAAGGAAGGACAATGTAAATGCAGATACCAATGAGTTGAAAACAGACAACAAGAGTGGCGGGGGTTCGGGAAATCTCGGCCAGACCAACAAGACCAAAGATCAAGCAGAGATGCAAGAGTCGCAAGAAAACGACGAAAAGACCGAATCAAGCCAATCGGTCGAAGATCCCAGCAATGGATGTGTGATTTGCATGAATTCATTTGCATCGCACGCTTACATTCCATGTGGTCATCAATGCGTCTGTCTTGAGTGCAGTACTCAATTCTCCAACCGCTGCCCTGTTTGCAATCAAGAGAGCCAAATGGTCATCAAGATCTGGCAGTATGCAGCTTGAAAGAGCCCTTTCTCATTTTCGAAGTTCTACCGATGAGTTGCGTGAAATCGATGCCATAGATATTCTTAAATCAAAGATGAGCATATTGATTTGCGTAATAAATCAAGGTGGAGGTATGCATCGTGAACAAGAATCATGTTTCACACTCTCAAATGCAGTTTTTGAAACTAGATGACCCTACGGCACTGAAATGAAAATAATGAAAATTCAATGGGTTCTAAATACATTACATGCTCTTCGGTTGCCTCAAGACCTTCTCGATCTAAATATCATTGTTGAGTCGAGCAGACAAGAAATATCTCCAAGCAGAAAGATACAAAGGAACCAGGACTGTTTCCTGGTTGCGACAGGGTGAGTCTTCTTACAAGAACTGAAACTCGAATGTCACCAATGTAAGATAATTCGGGTCCACGTGATTCCCACTGCAGAAAAGGAATAGGAGTAGACCAAGCGGAGCACTGATTATGGCTTTGTGAAGAGCAGAGTATGCCGCCTGTATGAAAAAGTAAGCTGATGCGCAGAAACAATTTGATCCGGATACTTCAGATGCTTCACACAACAAGCTATAAAACATTGAGAAGTTAGTTGTGGAGGGAGAACAATCAAGCTACCTTGATGATTCACCAATCGACGAAAGCGCTGCAATTGCGATCCAGCTGACAACCAGCGAAGAGCCCTGTGAATGGCAATCAACCAACCGAGTAAGGGAGAAAATGGTTGAACGTAATAGAACGAAATGAATTTGGAGGGAGGGAGGGAGGGAGGGAGGGGGTTCATTTTATGGAGTAAGGAAAGGAGGAAAAAGAGCGCAGAATCAAGTTAGAACCATGCAAAGACTTGAAGCAAGATGCTCTGCATTTGCAGAAATCGGTTTTGATAACCCCCACAGGTTCTGTATGCCCTGCTGTCCAGCAGCTTGTATAATGTCATGAGTAAAGACAGCAGAGAAAATAGCCTAATCATGTATTATCAATGACTCTCTGCATGCTTTTGCAAGAGTTCATGAACTTACAGCGGAATCTCCTGCGATAAGCTGCTTGTCCACATTTCGCCGGAAATTCATCTTCAAGAAAGTCCTGCCGGTACGAGTTGCTCTAGTCTTCCATGGCAGTGCTGTCTTGATTGGTAGGACGACATTTCCATATGGGCATGCAACCAACTTGTTCTCACACCTGAAAAGTCGGGGGTATCGGTGATGGCGTATCCAAGCATTTGGAGGCGATCCCAAATCGTCAGCCCTATCCAAATATGCAAGAAATTCCTTTTCTGCATTTTCATCAGGATGGATGAAAGGATCTTCGTCGGTATAGTTTCGTCTTGTGTGTGAAATCGGCGGTTCTTCCAAGAGCATCTCGTAGATTTCTTCGTCAACGGGAACGCCTATGTCAACAATCTTCTGCTTCCTCCCAGGATCACGCAATCGCCCTTTCAACCCGATCTCTTCAATACGTTTCTCAAACTTGTTCTGAATCTCGTTAAGTTTGGCAGCGGCTTCTTTGTCCTCGTTCTCAAGCGCCTTGACATGAGCGTGAAAGTCAGCGTCCATCTTTTTGAGCATTCGCTCGGCATCTCCAGTCTGCATGGCACCCCCTCTCAATCGTTGAAGGTGCTGGTGAGCTTCATGAGCATGAAGTGACGATGAAGCCTCTGTTGCAGTCCTTCCCCAACTTCCTCCCGACGCCACCAGAAGCCCTAGCAGCCCTGCTACCCCGACCTTCCTTGCCATGCCGTTGCCTTCTTGCGCAATGTCACGTGGAAGCTAGCAAGTCGATGCCTTCAACAATTTTATAAAATGATACACTGAGGCGAGCTCGTGATATTAGCTTCCTGCTGTGTTGAGTAAACTCTAGCAGAAGCGCCGGATAGTCGGCTACATGACCCATCTATTTCCGGAGCCGATCGGATGCGGCAGGCAGGCGCAGCTAAAACATACAACGTAGAGGGAGAAGATTGGTTGAGGAGCGATGCTGACCTGAGCGATGCTGACCTGAGCGATGCTGACCTGATGATAGGAGTGTCAGTGATGAGATGACATTTGACTGTGACCGTGGGTGTGAAAGGATGGTGTCAGCATCATTGTTTTTGTGAAAGCTTGTTGTCGAAGCTCCCAGGTCTTAAAAACTTCCTACTCGACCTGATCTATTCGATGCTCAGATGTTCGCGCTTTTGCTCGAAAGCTCAAAGAAGATTTCGGATCCCTTCGGACAGGTCTGAACTTGCGATGGTTTGAGTACTGGAATGACGTCATTGGCAGGGGCCTAACTTCAATGGAACTGCGGGAGTCTACGAGGCCGTTCCCATCGAGAAATGCGGATTCATTGCATCCAAGGATGGATCTACTGGCAAGGCAACGACCTGCTACAGGGGAAACCAGTATGAGTAATTCACCGCATGGTTTGGTTGCTGTATCACAGGGTTCAGTCTCATTGATTTAGTAAACCTAGGCTGAAAATTCATCTGTCGTCAGTTCTTTTCACTCCTTTCAGGCATATGTATAGCTTGATCCATGCCCTCCTCCTCGCTGGTAGTCTTCTCTTCTCCAATGTTTGTCAAACATGTCAAGCGCGACTTGAACGCTATCAAGTCGTCCAGATATTGCCTGTCACTGTTTGCAAGCAAACTGCAAGCTTTCTTCATCTCTATTTCCTGGATTATCATTCAGCTGCTTGCAAGTTTTAGCTATTCTTACCATCTGTTTTTGTCGAAATTCCAAGTTGGAACATAGAGATCTGGTCGATTCATTTTTCCTATCGAAGAGTATTTGCAATCAGGCTTTGTTCACAGCAAGTGTTTTTTATAAGTACCTTGTGAGAAGCTGTATCCTGCTCAAAAGTTGATGCTTTTCTTCAAGCAATTCTGCAAGCTGAACCTGGCACACTCCATCATTCACATCATACAGCTCTAACAAACACTGTTCAGCAAACCTGAACGTCATTTTTGGATTTTTTCAAATTTTTGATTTCAATTTGCTGTGTCATTCAATCATCGAGAAAATGCTTCATTTGTATTTTGGGTATACATGTTTTTGCTGCAGCATAAGAATTCCGTTTTCAATTTTCTGATATGATCATCAATACGAAACAAAAGGTTGATACAGATCAGCACTCTTCTTACCTGCATGTATTGATGCAGTTGATTAGCTTCCAACTGATAATTTTTGGATGAGGGTTTCGGACAGTTGATGCTGGACTTACCTGCAGCTGTTGTTTTTCTTCTTGCAGACTGCAATGGCAAAGTCAGCAGATCGACTGGCATACAAACAACTAGAAGGATGTCGAAATCAAACATTTTGAGTCGCCTATTGAGATCTTGCACGACTTCATCTAGTGATATCATCTTCTGGTTGAGAGCTGTATTTTCTTCAATCTTAGCGTCCCTCTGCAATGGTGACATCACAGAAACACTCAGGCGGGTTCAATCACCTCTGCACACAAATCATTAAACTTTCTCTTCAAGTCAGCAACGTTTTGATTCCACTATCAGAGAAAACTCCTTCAACGGCGCATTCATTGTTTTGAAAAACGACCTTAGTCTGCAGTCCTTGTGAGACTTCCACTTGCTTGTATAGCCTAGCTGTTTCATGCTCGTTTAGATTTGAATTTTGACGATGCTCTTCATCAAAAAGCAAATTTGGTCAGAAAGCTTACTTGCTTGTTGCTGGAGTTCCTCATTGGAGCTTTGTAATTTACAAATCTCACGTGTCTTGATCTAAATGTGTCACAGTGACCGAAAAGATCACAAATTTCAGAGCCAACACCTCAAGTTGTGACTCAATTGATTTGTTGAAGTCTTTGGTTCTCTCCACCTGAAGACCCGGATTGCTGTAAGCTCCATACACATTTGTAGCTGGAGACCTCTTCTTTCAACTCTGAAACATGTGCTTGTTCAGCCTTCACCTCTCTCATCCTTTGATTGCGCTAAATACAATTCAAGATTGAGCATAATGCGGTCATAGATGAACTGAAACGAACCTCTTCGACAAGCAATTCTACTTCGAGTTCTGCTGCTTGTAAACGCATTTCAATCTTAGTAGAAAGGTCAATAATTCACTGATGAAATGTCATGCGCATACCAATTGTTTGTCTTTTACCAGTTCATTCATTTTGGTTCCTTGTAAGCCTTGCTGAAGTCGAGAATTTTGCAGTTCATTTGAAAGTCGTTCCAACTCGCCATGAGCCAACATCATTTTTTCCTTTGTGTCGTCAAGTTCTTTCCCACTGGTGTCAAGTTTTGTTTGCAATTCCTCTTTGAGAATCTGATCTAAAAATCATATTAGCACCCAAATGCAGAAAAACATTAGCTACATCGTTTTCTCTCATTACGCAGCGATTGCAATTCCAACATTCTTCTCGATTCTACGCTTCGGTCATTTTCCACCTGCTTTGAGAATAAAATAAAAAACAACATGGAAACTTGACTCACTTTCACTTTTACGGAAAACAGCAAAGCGTCCAGGCTCTCCAATTCAAAGCAACACGAACATAATGACGTTTCACAGGTTGAGTAGGAATTCCAGTATTTGGCATGCATTTGTGCATTTTTTGACTCAAATGAATTCTTAATTGTATCCACTTCCATTGATTTTGCTGCAAGGTTTTCTTGTAGAGTTTGAACATATGAATTCAGCTGCTGTAGTTCTCTTACAAAATGCTGTGAAAAGTCAAATCGAAAATCAATCTCATTCTGTTTACATGTTGCTTTCCCGCAGCTAAGTGGATATCTTCTATCATAAAATGGAGAGTTTCCTGATCAAAATGTCACAAGATAGTACTTGACAAACATCGAGACATTCAGCAGCGTGTAAGTTGCTTCAAAGTCGTTTACAAGAATTTGAGAAATTCTGTTTGCTTGTTTCAATCTGATGCTGAGATCCAAGTTTTCTTCGCCAACGGTCTTGACTCGTCTTGACATCATTTGTTCTGTGACCTCTTTCTCTCTCAATTCATTAGAAAGTCGCTCAATGTCAATTAAGAACTGTTGGTTGCTTTGATTCAGACGGCAGATTTCTGCTTTTTGCTCATTTCTCAACTGCACATAAGTCAAGAGAAGGAATATATCCAACCAAAAACTCTGCATCACCCTGTCGTGTTCATGAAGGGATTTCTCATACTTCGTCTGGATTTCCACCTCTTTTAGATGCATACTTTGCTGTCCACTGAAGAGTCATTGATTTTCACCGTCAGTGAACAAAACATGAATACCTGGACAGCGATGCATTTCTTGTGTAAGTTGAGACAAAAAGTTTCCAAAGGATTGATCTGATTCTCTATCTCACTTAGTGTTTTACTGAGCATGTGCTCCTCCGCTCGATAAACTTGCAGCTCCTTGCTGATCATTGTAATATGTAGTTTCATTGCATTCATTTGATCACTAAATTGTTTCTGAGAGCATGAAGAGTCTTGTTGATAACAAGCTAGCTGGGCATTTTTTATTTCCAGTTTCTCCTGCAATTCTCGGTTGTGAGTGAGTTCAATCTCATTTGACAGTTTGCAGCCTTCTAACATTCGGATGAGCTGACATTTTTCATTATCTAGCATCATGCATGTTTCCTCTCTCAGCTTCAGTTCATCAAGAAGTTTCTCGTAAGCTGCTTGTTTTGAACTCACATCGACTTTGAGTCTGCCGCATAACTCTTGGCTGATTTTTAGCTCTTGTCGTAGTTTGTCTATAGTGTCAAAAGCTTCTTGCTTCGACGATTCGATCTGTGAATTCTCATATATTAGTGTCTCACATTTCCTTTGCAGAAACGCGATATTGTTTGACAGGGATTGTTTGGAATTTCCCACGGAATGTATTTCCGACTGTAAGTGGAATAAAGTTGCTTCTTGAATTTCAACTTTAGTTTTATAGCTTGAAATTGACTCTTCAGCGAAATCTATCTGAAACCTTATTGAAGAGCTGACCTCAGCGAGGTTTTCTTCTATCGTATCAAAGAGATCTTTTGTAAACTGTGTTTCTTCCTGATGCTGATAATTCTTCAAACTAACTCCTTCGTTGTATACATCCAAAAGTAGAGCTAGAAATTGTTCAAAGTTCACAATTTGTTCGTTTGCTTCAGAAATATCTCTCGTGTTTTCGTTTCCTTGTCTTGACCAAAGATATCGTGCTGTGCGAGTTGAAATCCACTTAGGAACCGTCCCAAAAGATTTCAAATGTCGCCAAAAATCGTCAAAATTTACAGATGCTGCTCTTTTTGTTTTGCCTTCATCATCAGGTCTGATTTTGGTCTGAACAAGACTCTGAAAACATCTTCTATCCCCATGCTTCTTCATGAATTCTGAGCATTCATTGTCCACAGAGCACACATACAAAATTTTTGTTAACTGTGAAATTGTTTTCAGTGATGCCTGTATTGATTGGTCAGTATATGGAAGCGAGCTATGGTTCAATGGATCCCAATTAGTTGCGCGCTCGGACACGATCCCATTTGGTTTGTCCATCCCTTCATACTTATCAAAGCCTTTTATCGCCGAAATCCTGGGCATGCAGGAACAAGAGGCGACCAGGGACGACTGAGAAGAAGGAAGAAGAGAAGAGACTTGCGAAAGCATGTCCGAGACCTCCAAGGCTTCGAGGAGCATCGCGTCGGCGTCAGTGTCCATCGTTTTTCAATATACACTCCTTTTTGAAAAGTTGAAAAAAAAGCCATCAAAGTTTGACGCAGCCATGGAGGTTGAGGCAGCAAGAATGAAGCAAGAAAGCATGGATATTCGTCTCAAGACTTCACTGATGAAAGGAGCCTTCGAGAAGCAAACTGATATGCGAGCTGCTCTCTTTCATGATGTGATCAGCTCTTGTACGGAGAATTCGCCGGCAGAATTGAGCGAATCTAGCATTGTTCCTGTCCAGCTTGAAGAACCAGAAGACAGTCAGTGATGTCTCTGCATTTGTCCACCATCTCATCGTTTCTCGCAGATGCAGTTCCATGCGATATCCTCCCATACTTGAAGGCTCAAGTTTACGATGCCGTCTCGTAATTCAAACCTCATTGCAACCAGGAACTGATCCAACCCGCTGTAGAGGGCTCAACATGGATCAAGATGTTTGCAGACACTTGAAGCTGCTGGGTCTTGTAAATAATGCATCATTATCTGTGTGTGCTCGATGATGTTATAGCCAACACTGACTTGCTGCAAGCATGCACCAAGAAAACATGTCAACGTTGATGAAATTTCGTCGGTGACCATGAACATAATCACCTTGAATTACTCACGATACAAAAGAAATTTAGCCAAGAATACGATCTCTATTTCAGAAGTCAGCCGTACAACATGTCGCCGAGCGAAGCAATTCGAACCTTCGGTTCGGACAGGGTGAAGTCAACTACGAATCTGAAAGCAATGGTAGTTCTAAATACCCTGAGTTCAAATTTTAAGATGATGAATTATTTCAGGCCGAAGGAGACGTTTTGAGTTGGTGTAACTATCAACGAAAGAATATTGTACTCATCTCTGGCCATTGACGCTGTGTAAATCGTGTTATAGGAATTGCTTTACGCCACACACAGCTCAATGCAAGTGACAAATCAACCCATTTCGCAGGGAATCAAACCTCTGCACAAGACATCAGAAGTGGACAAGGTTAAGGACGAAGCTGTTTACTAAAGTTACATTGTGTTTCCGCAGAAATCTACTCAAAGGGTAGCACGGCCAAGGCCGAAATGGCCAAAGTCAATATCACTAAGGTCATACATTCGTATATTTCATGGAAATAACTTTCCCTGACAGTTCAAGTAGTGGAGACGATGAAGACAATGAAAGTGAGGCATCGAAGCACATGATGAATTCCCCCTACACAGTAGCAAACAGGTCGAGAATCTCCAGTGATCTATCGAAACCTGAGCAAGACCAAGCGAAAGCACGGCACTCAAAGGTCAAACAGCTAAAAGACAGCATCAAAGCCATTCTCTCAAACTGAATGTATAAGATATCGAAGCGAAAGAAATGTTCGTGTCTAGTTTCTGAGACTCGCGGTAACCGCTGCACAATGTCCTCCTCCAGCACAAAACACTCTATCTGAATTTTCAAGTTAGAAACAGTGTGCTCTGAATTGCAGTTTTAGTAGCATACTTTGGTGCATTTCAACTTCAATCTTGGTCGGTGAAAATCGATTTTCTGTATCACCTGTACCAAGATTGCCATGTTCATTCCAACCTGCTGCGAATAGCTAAAATGTTTAAGCACTCATCGAAAATTGGATAACATTTCTGACTACCGTTTTATCTCGACAAGCAAGAATCATTTCACTTCCGCAGCAAAACTTGAAAGCAATGAGAGGGAATCGAATAGCAAAATAAGAAATACATCTTCCCAATGATCCTTGAATGTAGAACATTGGCCGAAATTGTTTCTTCCTGTAGCTTTTAAGGTGCGGTCCTCATACAAAACCACTGTATGCGACCATCCAGCATCAATCTGATCGTTCGAGATTACAATTTGAATAAAATCACGGAACAAGAGGATCACAAACCTTTAAAATTTTCTTATCATTCAGCTCCTCAATAACTAGCAGGATGGTATCAAACATGAAATAATCACAAGTCTATTACTTCTTGGCGTAGGAAAACTCGACGGACTGTGACTTCCAAGTTGTCCATGTTTGTTCGATCCTACACCCCAGACTCGTCCAGCATTGTCCAGTATCACTGTATGCTTCCAACCGCATGCCTAAGGACACATCAGGAGCTGACAAGAGCTTGGCTACTACTGACCACTTGTACTGCTCTGCTACCATCCTTTGGTTCCCAGCGGATTGGATTTTGCCCGACCTGAAAAATTCTAAGGCAACTTTTGCTGACAAACAACTCGGAGGCACAAATAACCTTCATTGCTCCTTCATCGTCATGACAGACGACCCCATGCTTCCCCCAGAAAAAGCATGCACCATTTTCTGTTACAGCTGCTGCATGAAAAACACCACCATCAACATCTTTGAAGTTCTGTTCTCCAATACTCAAGTGATCCGCCACTGTGTATGGTTCCCATCGCCCTTGACCAAACGCCCACAGTCTTCCCTCCAAGTCTATGGAGAAGGACTCTTCGTGCCCTGCTGAAATTTTTTGGCAGGGAGGTAAACCATGGACAGGCAGGATATCGCAACTCTCGGCAGTGTTTGTTCTTCTGCCAAGCTGACCCTTCGCGTTCCAACCCCACGACCAAACCTTCCCTTGATTATCAAGAGCAAGGCTGTGTCCACCCCCAAGTGCCAGCTGTTGAATTGATGCTGGGTCCATGTGCTGCATGCTTCTCACAGAATTTGGTTGGAGGCTGTCGAGTCCGTCGTATCCTAGCTGTCCATACTGGTTGCTTCCCCAGAGCCGTAGCCGAGCAGTCATTTGTGGATCTGGAGCAGTCCCGTCAACGTTCGGCAAAGCTACAAGAATTATCCGTGCGAAAAAAGAGATAGACAAAAGAGTTTCCATGAAGCCCATTGAGGAATCAAAATCATGCCGATCTTTGTTGTTCCCACTTCATGTCATTTCCTTCTCTCAAAGGGAAACTTGAAGTCCAAGTCAAGAGACAGGGGAAGGGATTCTGTGGTGCTTAGTAGAGGGGATGCTGTTGTGCTTAGAGGGGATTCTGTTGTGCTCAGAGGGGATGCTGTTGTGCTCAGAGGGGATGCTGTTGTGCTTAGAGGGGATGCTGTTGTGCTTAGAGGGGATGCTGTTGTGCTTAGAGGGGATGCTGTTCCTAGAGGGGATGCTGGTGCTAGAGAGGCATCTAGGGGTTGGTGGCTAAGCTACACATGGGTTGAACTCGACCCCAGTTTGTTTTGCCCCTCATACAGCACCCTTTGTGTGCCAACCGTCAGGGTTTAGGGTTTAGGGTTTAGGGTTTAGGGTTTAGGGTTTAGGGTTTAGGGTTTAGGGTTTAGGGTTTAGGGTTTAGGGTTTAGGGTTTAGGGTTTAGGCAGCGCCGGTTATTTCAGGCAGCGCCGGTTATTTCAGGCAGCGCCGGTTATTTCAGGCAGCGCCGGTTATTTCAGGCAGCGCCGGTTATTTCAGGCAGCGCCGGTTATTTCAGGCAGCGCCGGTTATTTCAGGCAGCGCCGGTTATTTCAGGCAGCGCCGGTTATTTCAGGCAGCGCCGGTTATTTCAGGCAGCGCCGGTTATTTCAGGCAGCGCCGGTTATTTCAGGCAGCGCCGGTTATTTCAGGCAGCGCCGGTTATTTCAGGCAGCGCCGGTTATTTCAGGCAGCGCCGGTTATTTCAGGCAGCGCCGGTTATTTCAGGCAGCGCCGGTTATTTCAGGCAGCGCCGGTTATTTCAGGCAGCGCCGGTTATTTCAGGCAGCGCCGGTTATTTCAGGCAGCGCCGGTTATTTCAGGCAGCGCCGGTTATTTCAGGCAGCGCCGGTTATTTCAGGCAGCGCCGGTTATTTCAGGCAGCGCCGGTTATTTCAGGCAGCGCCGGTTATTTCAGGCACCATGGCTGCACGCGTGGTGTAGGGGAAGCTGCCAGGGCGCCAAGGAAGCTGCAAGCGAGAGGTTTGTATACTTCAAATAGCTTTCTAAGTATGGTTCTTCAGTATGATGAAAATGTTCGCAACCTGCTGTATCGGAGATCATGCCAATACACGCAGAGCGGACTTGTGGATGCCTCTGTCCTCGAAGCTGATCTCGTCGAGAGGGTGAAGAGCTTCGCGAAGCGTTATCCGAACAGCAGGACAGCCCAGGCTTGCAAGGCTGTGGAGGGATGCACCCCCGACGCTATCGCAGAAGCCATCCGCTCGACATGTCAGCAGGCACGACGTGAGTTTCTGCAAGAAGCGATGACTGGATGGAGTGACGCATCCAGAGAATGGTTTATGCAGCAGATTGAAGAAGCGAAGGGAAGTGCAGCATCATCCGAGCGAACACAATCGCAATCGGTTTACTTCTGCAACATGTCCTTGAGGAAGGAATACAGATCAAAAGGGGAAATCAAGTCACAATAATGTACCAGTCCACACGTTTCCACCGCTTTATGACAAATACGTTGCGAATGGATACCATGCGATACGAAGACGAACTGCTGGAGGACCTACATGATCGGTTACTCACTTGCATGAGGAAACTCGAAGGGAGGGGAATCAGGATCCGACTCCAACTAGCAAAAGAATCTCATAGAAACATTCAAGAGGCAAAGGAAATGGCCAAGCAAGCAAAACAAACATTTGCCTCGGGATGGGAGAAAGCAATCTACGATAGTCCAATGGAATTCATCATTGCAGGAGAAGAAAATCCTACATCAGGATTCGATCGCTTGAAGAAATGGGACTACATTATCAGACAACAGACAATGGTGGCAAGGATTCGAGCGGGAGACCTCACCTTGACAGAGAAATTCATGCTCGAAATGCATGTGGGAAGAGATTTACTAGGGAGAGGGTTCAAACAATGTGAAGGGTCAGTTACGCGAACAGCTATCCAAGCGATCACCTTCTCAGCACCGACGAGGAAGAAGCTCTTTCAATGGGGGAAGACTAACTCACCATGTTGTCCTCACTGTCCAGATCGAGAAGAAACCTGGGGTCATGTTCAGCTAGCGTGCAAGCAGTTCCAAGATATGATTCAAAAAGCACACAATGAAGTCATGAAGAAGATCAAGGTAAGACTGCAGCAGAGTTGGAGGAAACAAAGGGTACAGGTCAATTCATGGTGGGACACCCCAATACGCATCGTGATGGAAGCGATGGGGACTTCAATGCACCGAGAAGGGCACTGGATACCTGACGGTTGCTGCTACTTTGCAAGCATCAAACGCATTGTCCTCATCGAATTTGCAAGGACATCGGAATATGACGGAGTCGGACAAACAGGCCTGGAATGCCTGAAGAAGAAATTTCAGGAAAAGGAAGAGAAATATGCCCCCCTACGAGCAGAAATCACAGCTTTGCTACCTGATCATGAAGTTGAACAAGCAACATTCATAGCAGGAGTGAAAGGATCGATCATGGAAAGGGAATGGCATGAGAATTTCAGGGTGCTAAGGGTGGAAGACACGGAATGGGAAGGCATCAAGACAGCAGCAATCAAGCAACTGCTGGTGGTGCAACACATGCTATGGACGGCAAGAAGGGGAAGCGAGTCGACCTAGTCCGATGGGGGGCAGGCGCGGCTCATGGGCAAGCCACCTATGGAGCACAGGCAGGGAAGGAAAACAAGCCTAGCACCAAGGAGACAGGCGCAGCTCAGGGTCATGGAGGGAAGAGGTGGGCGACTGGGGGGGGAAGGGACAGGACAGGCGCAGCTCAGGGTCTTGGAGGGAAGAGGCGGGCGAATGGGG